CCGTTTCTCCCCAATTTACTCTCGAATTTTGAACTACTCGGCTTGTAAGTTGCGATTTAAGTTCAACTTCAACTCCGCAAAACAAAACTATATTTAATTCTGTTATGAATGACAATCAAGCTACTATTACTTCGTACAATCTTAGCTATGGACTTGCTACTAAGGACGCCTTTCTATAGCGGTAGGCTTAAGCACGCTAGTATTCTGTACACGAAAATGTTAGCCAGCCATAGGTTCATCTACACTCTTGTGAGACGAGAGCTTCTTGATCAAAGATGCTCATGTCAATCTGGCCGCTTCGCATATTATTTCCCAACTTCTCCAATAATGATGCCAAACCGAATATAAAGTCGTATTATGATAACAATAACTTTAATAAGTACGCTTATGCAATGTAATTTAATTTAAGGTAGATACATAGTTACGTCATGTCAAGATATTAAGTTAATGTGATGTAATTGGCAATCAGAAAACAAGGAAGCTTTGAGAAGAGGTGTGTGGCCATTTGAGGCTGCGTATAAAATGGCCTTCATTCAGCAAAGCCTTGCCATCAAACCCCCATTACTATTCATTTGGAAAATTAAATACCTCAGACTGTATAAACAATCAGCTAATAGCAGTCCTCTCCCTTCCCAATCTAATCCGACCGCCCCTTGATATCAAGAGGTCGCCTTCCTCATTAAAGATACTCATCCATACATTCAAAAAACAAGCAAAATAACAAACCATGTCCGCGGGCCGTCAATCGCCCCCGCCATCTCGGCAAACGGGCTCTCAGCAATCGGATATTCCGGGCTGGTCCGGCAAAACTGAGTCTCCAAATGGGCATGCAAATGGCATGTCCAATCCCTCCGCGCATACCTCACATGCGAAGCCGAGTAAGCAGGATATCGAAGAGCATGGTGAGAGACAAAGTGCTGGCAGTGGTGGCGTTGAGAAGTTAGAGAGTAACCCAGTGCATCCGTTAGCAGAAGTGGCTAAAGGGAAGATCCATTGAATCCGTTTGAAAACTCTACAGTATCGGATATACTTGTGCAAAATCGCCGACATGGTTGTGAATTTGAAATTGAATTGCTACTGTAATGTTCTTTGATATCTGAAATGTGGCGATGATTCTAGAATGATGTTTCTTGTTCTTTACAATTTTCTAATATTCCGATACATGCCTGTGCTGCTTCATGGATTAAATAAAGGAACCTAAGCCTGATCATAATACAGTTTATTAAAAATCGACCGAGAAAGAACAAACATCATATGTGGAAGGCGAAGGAAAGAAATCATGGTTTAAAATCCTTATTCATAACACATAACAAGACGACGTGAACGGGTTTTTTGAGAGCTGATGGGACTAGGCAGCACTACCTGGAGCTGGAGCACTTGGATTGGAGCCGGTGACAGGAACACCGCCTGTAGGCTGCTCCTTGTGCTGGCTACCTTCCACACCTGGCGATTTCTCCCGCTTCAAATCTGCCAAGCGTCTTGCTTCAGTGTGGATATCCTGCACCTGCTTGTTGCTGTTGACGTAGAAGTCTCGGATCTTTTGTCCAGTTGGAGTGCCCAATGCTTTCTCAAAATATGAGCTTAAGCTCTTCCAGCCACGTTCAGCAGTCTCAGTGATCTTGTAGTTCTCATCAAGACCCTTGGCCTTGTCGGTGGCGTGATACTTCTTGTCAAAATTGGCCAGCGCGGTTTGGAAGCGGCTCGAGAAGCCGTGCTTTTTGTCGATATCGATAGCCCTCTCGATCGCGTTGTCGCTGATTACGTAGCCATGAGCAAGGTATTCGGCGAAGATTCTTGAGCGGGGCTTGTCTTCTTGTTCGAGGTCTTGGTTATTTTCGTCTGTGGCGTGTGAAGCATCCGTAGTCTTGCTTCCTGCAATTTCATCGATAGACCTTGCTGAGGTAACATGAACAGAAGAGGATCCCAATTGAGTTTGATCCAAAAGAAGGGCAGTTTTTGCGGCTCTAATAACGATTAGTTTTAAAAGTGGAATAAAAATACCGGAAAATTCTTACGTTTCTTTTTCAAACGTCACTGTGGCAGATTGGGTCGCATCTTTCTCGCCTGATGAAGGATTGAGGGATAGTGAAGTGATTTTACCACTAAGAAAACAGTCAGAACAGGAAATTTGGGACATGTAGTGGGCAGAGCGGGATGTGACATACCAGAAGGTGAAGAAGTCTCTAACCTCCTTCTCTCCAGTGGTAGAGGCAATGTTGGAAACATGGACGGTATTAGACATGATTGCTGTGTTTTCAAGCGTGATTTTCTTTGAATCTTGTCTTCTTAGTGAACATTCAGAAATCGTCGGCTGGAATCGGGCGGGGGAGTGAAGATATAGGGCACGGGCGGGCGCAGCTACGTAATTAACACATGATAGCGGGGTGGAAGGAGCTGCGCCGCAGATGACGTCGTTTGGTCGTCACACCAGCCACATTTCAGGTGGCAACATTTTGTCGCTGTTGATTGGTCCATCTGGACTTGGCTCTTACATCACCTTGCATGAAATCTTAGCGTATTCGGAATGGCGAGTAATGGCCTATCTGTGGATTATCTATTAATCCGGTTCCGCAGCTCTCGAATCAATGCTGGAATTTTCCAAGCAATTCTCCCGTGACGTTGAACCAGGGTCCTGCAACGACTCCGTTTAGTTTCCCCAAGCTCAGATACACAGTCAGGGATAATGGATACGAGAGTCTTCGTAGAACTTCTATAGCTACCAAAATACACTCTTGCTCCACATGATGATTTCAAGAGTAAATTATAGAACAGAGCATTTATTCAGACGCCAATTCACAGTCAACTATCAGGCATGGGTCGAAACTCGAGCTCTGAAGTCGCTTCCGGGCTTCGAAAGTCCCCACCTACTTCCGGTCTCCGATACTCTCGAAGAGTTGTTTCAAGTTCCCGAATACGACGTCGCAGAAGCTCATTTTCTCGTCGTGCAGCATCGAGTTCGGCTCGGTGAACCGTTACCTCTTCGTAGCGCGTCGCCGTTCCAGACGAGGGAGGCTCGCGCTGGTGGCTATTTATGAAGCTTAATGACGCGGCCTGGGCAGAGTTGCTTGACAGAGAAGGGATAGCGTGGGACGGGCGATGAGACTGGAAGGGAAAATGCTCCCCGGGCTGTTGGAAGGATGACGATAGCGCCGGCGACGTAGTGCCAGACGGGCCTCGAGACATAATTGACGGCTCACGGCTACGACTTGGACGATGGTATTCCATAGATTGTCGCGGCGGTTGCGGAGCGGTGCTGTCCCGCGAAGGAGCAATACCAGCGACGCTCCCGATTGGCAACGAGGACCCACCAGCAAAGCTTCGTGAACTCAGCGTGGACGACGAGCGATTTCGCGAGCCAGGAGTGAAAAAACCTGATGTATGCTGGCCATCAGTAGGTTCGTGAATGTTGGCTGATGCTGAAGATGAGGTTGATGCCACAGAAACAGTCTGTTGCCGTAGAAGGCTCAGCTCTCGGGTAAGGCGGTTGACCTGCAGGTATATATCAGCTGGTGGGAATGTGGAACACGGGTATTGACTGCAGATTCAGTGTTCATACTACAGCCTCTTGTTCCTTCTCTAACTCCAAGTGTATGTCAGCAGCGGTCATCGGGCGCGGATGGCGCAGAGGCCCTGCAGAAGCGGTAGGTCAGAATCCACGCGTAGTGATACAGCTGCAGGGATGGGCCGCACCTGGGCCGTCTCCCACGCCAGTATTATCACCCAACACAGGACTGGAGAGGGTTGACGAGCGGGAGTGAGCAGGGGGCAGCATAGGGTGCGATCCTTGACGGCTCAGCGACGGCGAGAAGGTCTGCTGTTCAGGGGCGGATCCGTTGGTGAGAGGCATGGCGGCGGGAGTGGAGGAGATGCGGTGCGAGTCAGGGTGCATGATGCCCCAGGCCGGTCGTTGCAGAGTCGCAGTCACGGCAAACCAAAGACAAAGAAGGCTGTCGCGTCAGTCAGTCACGGCGTGTTTGCGGGCGGGCTCATTCTTGTCGTCCAAGCCGTCGCGCGCACCACCGCAGCGCTGCCTTCAACCCGGTCGTTGCGGTTGCTGGTTGAGTTGCGGGAAGGCCGGATAGGCCAGTCAACCATCGCATGAAACACTGGCGTGACACGACGGCTGTCTGTGCTCCTTTGCGTGGTGGATGCTGAGGATTCGCTCCGACGGTGGTGACAGCCCAGCAAAGGTGGGCAGCCGTTGAACCTAATCCCGAACTTTGTCTGGCTAGAAAATCATCATATCAAGGCAGATTGTGGGCGTGATTCCTTCATGACATATATTTGCTCACGCCCTGTATCCTAATACTGTATGGTCTCCGGCACCTGCACTGGGGAAGTACTGTCTATATACTAGGTCTGGTTGCTAATCAAGCCATTGCTTCTGGGCGACAACACTCATAGCGTTCTGACGTTGGATACTAACAGCCTGTGTGAGAGCATGTTTCTCATTTGGGAATTTCAAAGAGGCAAAGAGGCAATTCAAGCCGAGTACAGCGGTACCACGAATCCACAACGATAGACAGTGGTAGAAAGAGGTTGGCTTATATCGCTACACAATGTGACACAGTGAGACGACCGTGTGGTTTCGCAAAACGCAGGACATTTTCTTCATGATACCAATCTAGTTCTATTTTCTAACTATTATTGCACGGTGATACACGTGTCCCATTCCAAAAATGATGAAAAGAGCATTCTCCGAATTGGACGATCCAGATCCAAAGAAATACATGCCACTGCATTGCTTCTACCAAGTCACACTACGTGGCACAAACCCTGGTTTCCGATGAAGGCGAGTAGAAATCTCGTTCAGGAAAGATAAGACATCGATGAGCTTGATTGATACAGTGGGCTGGACCAATAGCAACTACAGTGTGGAAGGCCACTCGGCCACAAGGATGGCTACGTCCTTATAGCCTAGTACTAATCGCATCCTGTTCACCAGCCAACGCAGTAGAGTGAGTAAAAAGGGGTGCCGATGGCGGAAACTTACACCAACACGCATGAAGTCTTTCTTGGACGTTCTGTTGTTTAAAAAAATTGTCAAGGCGGTGGATTGGATCAAACTGTAGCTATCTTGCGGTCTTCGGCATATGAATGCTTAAGTTCACTGTTAATTGTATTATGATGACTGTTCGACTTGACGTTTGAGAGGAGAAAGGTAGGAACAGCACCATTGAAACACTAGCATGCTGGCTGAAGCAGTTGGCGGGTAAATAGATGAGTTTCCCCTTTATTATCAAAATAGGACACATGCACCACCTTGACGGTCCTATATTCTATTCATCAGAATGAAGCCGCCGATACTTAGCCATTGAAGAGAAAATAGCAAAAAAAAAGGAGATCGTCCAAGTTTCCCACGCACCAAGCGAACTTCCGTGCCCCAAATAGGTCAATAGAAAGCGCATACTACCGCGATAACTCCCAAGCCCCTCCAACAAAAAAGATGAACTCCTCGTCAGTGTCTTAAAGAGCAAGATGTAGCTAGATTACAGAGAGAAATAAATAAAGCAATGAAAAACTGACCAGCTTGTGCCCCCAACTGTAACCCAGGCCGTAACACCAGATCCTTAGGATCCCAAGCTGTCATACGTGGAAAAGTCCGTAAGCATTACTGGGCGTTCGTCTAGCCGTCATATCACATAAGTACAAATTCGGTCTCAAATTAAAGGTAGATAGTTGATAAGAAGCAACCAAGTAAAAGCATGGCGTTGTAACTGGTAATAAAATCTATGGGCTCGATGTGCTCGGAGTTGGTTCTGGAGGTATTTCTGATGCAGACGAGCGTGCTTCCTTGCCTAGGGTACCTTTCTGTTCGGATACAGGCGATGGCGACAAAAGGGCAATTTGCCCAAGCTCGTTCGCTTTCGAACAATGTCGCGGCTCTTGTGGTTCAGCATCAGTTTGTTCTAGCGCATTCTCGTGATCAGGAGATTTAGTGTCGAGCAAATCACTGGACGTGGCATCGCCAATCATAGCAGCTAGGCTTCGAAACCCATGTATCGGACCGAGATTTGCGTTGGGTCCATTCGGAGGAGTGCTAGATCCTAGCGATTCTCCGAATACAGACTCAACGAGAGAGGATCTCGAGGAAGAGGCACTTGAGACATGGCGAAGTTGCGTTTGTTTACACGAATTCTCTGCCAAAACACCAAGACGTTCACTGTCTGACACTTTCGGACTTAATTTCGGGTCTTTTTCCAAACAACTGCTTGCCATTATAACACTAGCATCGGGTTCGGAGCGATCGACACCTTTGCCTTTACAGGTGGAGGTGTCGGGCTCCTGGTTTGCCGTATCCGCTACTCCAGACTGAATGTTGTTGGAGGACGTATTCATAGCAACAGAACTAGCATTAGCACTATAAAGAACGCTTTTTCTGGCTTGCTTCCCGGCTTTCTTGGCTTCTTTATCTCGTTTCTTCGCCTCCTTTTTGGCATCTTTTTCTTCCTTTTTGCGACGTTCCTCTTCAGCTGCTAGACTCAACCTTATGGCCTCCATCATCATCATTTCTTCCAATTCATCAATTCTGCTGCGACGAGAGCTGGCACGAGGAGGTGCTAGGTTCGTCGAACTATCGCCCGGCGACCCATGTTCTCGCTCGGACAAGGCTCGACGTTCAGCCAGATATGCCAAGGCATTTAAATGTGGGGAGCCGGTTCTGCTATTAGGGCTGTCTTGACCAGTTGCTCGTCGTAACATGCTGCGTCTCCTCGGCTCAAGTGGCCCCCCCGGTGTATTCATCAAATAGGCAGCCGTATGAAGGGCTGTAGCGGCTGCAGATCTTCTGGCAGCTTGGGCTCTTGCAGCAGCGAGTTTTGTTGCCCAGTCTGGACGAACTTTGTCAGTCGTGATAACACCAGGAGAATCTGCAGATATCGACGTAGCACGACGTCTAGAGGTGGGAGGTTGGCCCCCTGAAGTTAAGGAAGACACAGAGGATGTGGGTGAGGAGTCTGCAAGCGGGTGCATAGTGGAGTTTGGGGCGTACGCCAGTCCCCGGCGAAAAGGAGGTGGTAAGTACGTAACGCCAAATTCAGGCTGAACACAAAAGGGACAAGCAGCAGCCTCCGAAACGAGTTGTGTATCAGACACGTCGGGTCCATTGTTTTCAGAATTATTAGACTCAGGATGTTCTGGAGGATGAGGATCAGGGCGTTTTATTTGTACAAAGCACTCAGAACAGATAGGCTGATCACAACATCTAGTTTTATTTAGGTATGGAGGGTAGTAAAGGAAACAAATTGGACATTCCGAGGCATCTTTGTACAAGTATGCTTCAATTGGTTGCCCATTGATGAAGGGGTCTTTAGGTAGTTGAGTTTCTCGAGATGCTGGGTCGGCAATGTTTGTTTTGGACGATGTTGTGAGGGATGCGAGGGTTTTGGCACGACTTCTGAAGAAAGAACCCGTGGGGCTTAAAGCACCGGGTGATCGTGGAGGCGATAAAGTGCGATTCACAGATGAAGTATCCGAATTATAGGACTGAGACCTAGATGAGATTGGAACCATGAGGGTATTTAAATTTTTCTCGGATGGCATTCGATCCTCAGATGATTTAGATGGTATCTTGTATTCTAATTCAGGGGGTACTTCATCCGGCGCCGGAATAGGCATTCCTCTGGCTGCCGCCATTAGCTGGTGTTCAGTCCAAGAATCTGAAAAATCGTTTAAGCCTCTCCAAAATGGAGCTAGGCGACGTTCAATCTAAAGATAAATTAGTTGACGGTTATGGAGCGACAAGTAGTAGGAAAGATACCATTAATTGCCTCACTACTGCCTTGTTGAAGTCCTCTGAGCCGACGTAGACTCCCTGTGTCACTAAATACCCACCATCAACGTGTTCTTCCTTCATACTTCGCTCCCGTTCTTTGACCCTGGCCGCATTTTCTTTCTCTCGTTTTCTAGCCTCTCGTTCTTGCCTAGTTTCGCGGCGGTGTTCCTGTAATTGCTGGTCTCTATCAGGGCCAAGTAACGCAAATTCGGGTCGGCCGGCGCGAAGGGTTCTAGAGGAGGCAGCGGCATGAGGACTTTCTGATATTCTGTAGTGCTCGTAGCTTGCTGTTGAAATGGAGTCGCCGCGGGAGTGTCGAATGGCATGGCCATTGTATGACCGACTCTCTTTGGTAGGATTGTTACCCATGATGCAAGTTAGGGGGTAAGCAGTATTGATGATAGTAGGGAAGCCGAAAAGTAGGTTTAGCGTGTATTGTTCTCTTGTTGACTGTCCTAATATGGCGGAGTTTGATGTAGTATTTGTGGCTAGGCAGGATATTATCCGTTTGTTGGATGCCGAAATGGAGGGTCAACTTGTATGGACAATGCAGCAACGCTTGAACATGCGCCAAGGACAAACCTCCATACGCGCGGAAAACTGAACACAGATTACCGTTTTTGAGTAGTAATGGTAAACTGGCAAGGTGATTTCAAAAGGAAAGCTGTCGCTGACCCAAATGCAGGCTGAATTCGCGTTGGGCATAGGCCACGGGGTTCGCGTGCGTCAACAGGTCCAGAAGCACAGAGCAGGGTAGAAAGCACTTCTTTAGGAGGCTATAATCCCGCATTAAAGGGTTTTGGCATGGGGACTGTGTGAGAGGTTACTAATCTGTCAGGATTGACATTGATGACAATGTCGGCATTAAGGCCTCGAGCAGCCGAGGGTTCGAGGGGCGGGCCGTGTGCTTCGATTTTAGTTTTAGGCGTAAAAGCCGAAGGTGAGTAGAGCTGCTGGATATTAGGTAGCGATCCCTGAAGAATCCTTGTCTGTCAACCCCTTCACAACAGCGACTTCACGACAGGCCGGCGTTGGAAGTTCGTCGTCGATTTGATGTCCTCATTTCGTCTCTTCTGGTGGCGCGGGGTTATATAAGCAGCTGAGATAAGCACTGAGGGTCCGTCGGGCGGCGATTGGCTGGGGGCCGGAGAAGGTTCAGGCGGTGAGGAATTGTGGTGAAAGCACAAGAGTCGCTTGGACTGCTGGGCCTCTGGCGAGCCTGACTAGAGTCACTCCCAATGTCACACCTAAAAACGAAAAGGCTTCATATCTCACCATTGGACTCACCTCTCCTCAATGCCATCCTCCACCCTTCAACCCGCGATCTTGTGACAGATATCTCCCTCCATACGATCCAGACTTTCCCTGAAAATAACTATGGCTTCATAACACTCCCAGCGGCGGAAGCAGATAAGCTCATGAAGAAGCTCAATGGTTCCATCTTAAAGGGAAGGAAGCTTCAAATTCAAGAAGCAAAGCCTAAAACAAAACGAGAACTAGAAGAGAACGTGGCTTCCGATGTTCCATCCCTTCACAATCAGACCATGGCAACAAAGCGGAAAGCTGGAAATGATAGTATTGAAGGATATGCCTTGTCATCCAAACGACGCGTGATGCGAGGCTGGACGGATGCATCTGAGAAGGAGAAACGGTCCCGGAAAGCCGACGCAACGGATGAAAAGCGCAAGAAAAACAAGTCCTCTAAATATACGAATAAGCCTGAATGTTTATTTCGAACTGCTTTGCCTTCGAACAAGGCTAGTCTTGCAAAACCAAACAAGCAACCCAAAAAAGGCTCCCCTGGAAGAATCAGTGCTCTAGTCCATGAATTCGAGAAATCAACAGCCTACCCAACTTTTCTTAGGGTGGATCAAGGCGTTTCGGCAACACATTTGACTAGTGAGTATGTCGAAGGAAAGGGGTGGGTTGATAGAAACGGTAATTTGAGAGAATCTCTTCCGATGAATACCACGATCACGAATCATCGTCCAGTGGCGCTACATGAAGAGGGGATTACTGAGTCTATGAAGGGTGCAGATAGGAAGCAACGCATGACGGCAAAAGATATGGAAGCTCCATCAAGCTTGAGAATACTAAATGAAGAGGGCCTTTTAGACGCAACCCAAAGTTCGGTTTCTGGGAAGGGTGAAAACCTTCCTCGTGACACTTTTACGGAGAGTGACTCTGATAGCTGTATTTCAGACACATCCAATGGAACGAGCACTAGTCAGAGACTGAATGCTGGAACTAACGCCAATCCCCCTACGGATGAAGAGTCTACTGAGGATACCTCAAGCGAAGGAGGGTCTACGAGTGACGATTCTGGTTCTGGTAAAAGCAGCTCTGAGTCAGAAGCGAAGCAAAACAGTACGGATGAAGCTTCTCCAAACAAGTCTCTCATAACCAGGGACACCCCAGAACCCACACCCATCAAAGAGGTGCATCCTTTAGAAGCCCTATTCAAGAAGTCGGCATCAGAGACTACAGATATGGCTAAAAGACCACATTTGGAAGTCAAAACTGCCTTTACCTTTTTTGGTAATGCCGAGGCTGATAGCGATGTTGATGTGGGCGATGAAAATGGCATTTTTCAAGCCATCAATCGGAATACCGGGGCTGAGCCGCAAACCCCATTTACCAAACGAGATTTGCAATTTCGCGGCTTACGTAGCGGTGCACCCACGCCAGATACTGCAGCCGTAAGTAAAATAAAATTCTGGGATGAGGATGAGGAGGAAGAAAAAGATGATAGCGATGAGAATGACGTTAGCAGCCTCGAAGCAACATCTATGGAGGAGGCAGATGACGGGAAGAACCAAAGGGTCAGCACCACCAAAGTTTCTAAGGAAAAGGAAACCAGTGCTGCAGAAGAAAGCGAATTTGCAAAATGGTTCTGGGAAAACAGAGGAGATAACAATAGAGCTTGGAAAAGAAGAAGAAGAGAGGCTGCTAAAGAGAAAAGACAACGGGAGAATAGGCAACGAGGTAGAAGATAAGATATAAAATTAGTTATTCTAGTCAGCGTGGTAGATTTTGACCTGTACATACAAAATCTTTTCTGCCAAAATACCCAATGGGCTTCTGTGGCACGATTAAACGTTGCTGATGCAGTTTAGTTACCTTAATTAGGTATGGAGTAGCTAGTTAAGCGTGACATGTGCCAAGTCCCCGCCGTCAAGCGAATATCAAATGCGACGGTGCCAGACAGCATCAATACTGGGTGTTTTTTTTTGGGCATCTCTATCACCATTGGTTGATCATGATAATACAAAAGTATACAGCTCCTCTGACACTCCTAGCGTTCTCATTTTTGTTCTCATTTGCTTTAGCTGACAGTACGTCTAACCCCCCACGACTCCGTGGTCATATAACTCACAAGACTGCTCGACAGCCCCCATCTCCTTTTGCAAATGTACATGCTTGTCTAATAGCACCATTATTCCACTGGGGCCGCCCAAGCCGAGTTCAAAGCCGGCGTCTAGATTGTTCTTAGCCCACCGTGACAGCGCCGCAGCTTACCTTAGGCTTCCTAATTCTCAAACACCTCGCAAAAGATCTGAAAGCAGCAGTAACAAGAACGCTAGTAATGGGAGAGACGATAGGAAGTTTCGTCCGGCCAATTGCAATGATTGCAATCGAAAATTCTGCCTGGAATATGAACTCCCGATGTGTAAGGGCGTGAAAGAAGAGGATATCGTAACCACTTGTTTCCGTGGGTTTCCTTACTCCTTTATTCTTATTGCGGTGTAGTATACAGTCAATGGCAGCTAATACCTAGGTATTTAGAGCGGGAGTCTAATAAAGATAAAGCAGTAGTGCTTATCTTTATCGTTGCGACGGCGTCTCTACTGCTGTGGGCAGCAGTGAAGCCATGGGCAGAACGGTGGATTCAGGTATGACATTGAGTTTATTACATTGATATAATCTCTTCTCGCCTTTTTGAATGTCGTGCTAATTTTTATACCTCCACGTCTTTTCTGACTGACTTCTTTCTCTTTCAAAGGCTGCTCGAGAAAGAAGACTATATATGCCCATCGTTTCGGGTGAAGATAATAACTAGGTTAAATCTTATTTTGTCGCACACCCAGTTTTTATATACCCTATTCAACAAATTTTTGGTGTTTAAAGGAACGGATGTATGGCAGGGGCCTACTCGTGTAAATATGAACGTGTATATGGAAGAATCTGACTTTTTGAACCTTCGAGGAGAACATAGGAATATATACGAAGTATATCTACGGTCTTTGCTCTACAAATTTATGTACCGATAGAATACAATTGGACCTCGCTAAGATCTTCTTTGGGAACGACTATGTCAATCGGTAGAGCATGTGGCTTTTATCTGGGACCCAGTCTTCATAACGTAGAAATAGCCAGAATTTTGAGAGTAGGTGTTCGGCTTGTTATTTTATTCACATCATTTGCTGGAGACATGCATGACTGTTTAATAATCAAAATATTTATTCTTTTATGCGTAGCCCAGTTGATTCACTTGAATTCTTGGTAGAAGGGCAGGATTGTTTTGCGTAACAACCGAAAGTCTGGGTACCTGCTTCATATATATTCATATAATCTGTATGGAGTATGTATGTATGTACAGCAATAACCTAATTGTATTCAAAATGCAACTTGCGACTTGTTTCTTTTTAAAGAAGCCCTGAACGCCAAACATACTAAACTCCTCACCACCTGTCAAATCAGCATTCCGTAATATCATTGATGGAGTTTTAGGTTCGTACTTAGCAAAAGAAATATATTCCAGGAACGAAATCATCAGCAGCAACTTCCGTGATCCACATTGACATACACGACTTCTTGAGTGGCGGGTTCATTATGCCGATAAAAACATGGTGCACCCGCAGTAATAGATATCAAAGAGTGTTTCCTCGGATGCATACACCAAAGTTGAATTGCTCCAGCAATAGCAACTACACCACTTGCCCACCAGGCAATTCCCGTAAATTCGATGCGAGAGCCGAGTGTATATAGGAATCCGGCAATGGGAGGGGCAATGGTACGGCATGCGGCACCGGCAGATGCTGTCAGTCCGTTTATTTTACCGAGTACTGAGTTCGTGGGGCTTGCTTGTTTGATGAGGATAAGTAGGACTGGGTAAGCAAGGATGGAGAAAAGATTCCTGATCGTTAGGCAGGTATAAATTCCGCCATATAACATGTTCTGTGGGAGAAAGGCGAGAAATGGCACAATGAAGTAGGCGACCGGGTGGAGAACAGTTACCAAGACGAAAACGTTCCAAACACCGAGCCATTCTGCAAAAATAGGAAATATGATGGCTTGAATCACCAAAGCGATAATCCCATTTACAGACATAATCAGACCAACAGACTGTGTCGATATTCCTAACCCACCAGGAATATAAAATAATGTAGACATTGACCCTTTGGCCAAATCACCTTTATCGTCCTGCAAGAATATTGGTAGCAAATGGTCGTACGTCATAGAGTGGTAAGTAAAAATTCCCAAGGCGATGACAAGCATTATTACACGTTTTGTGAAGACTTGTTCGGAATCAGATAGACGTAACAGCTTTCCATCTGGCCTCACATGCCACTCTTCATCTTCCTGCATATCGACATCGGCGAAGGTGCCGTAAGATTTAGCTCTTAGATCCGCACTCGCACAAGCCAATGATCCAGTGGTGGCGACGGCAGCCAAAGGAGCCGCAGGTTCAGGATGTTCATTATAGACATCTACTTGAAAACACCTAGGCTGGATATCCGGATGAGTCTCGTGCAACAAGACGTACCCAGCAACGATACTGATCAGAAGTAGGACTGAGCAGATAATGTTAGGTAGAAGGTACGGGAAAGTTCCAAATAAACCAGATTTAGGGAAAACAGAGGGGAATGTCTCAGCAGGTTTGGCGAAGGTGCCACCGATAGCTATAATTTACTCTTAGCAGGTTATCGGACAGTAATTAATATAGACACCTACCAGGACCGATGATAGTTCCTATAGACCAAACGAAGGGCATTATAGCGTACGCTCGAGCTAGAAGTTCATCAGCAGATGATAAAAGTATTATTTTGGGCTGGGGTAAAACTAACGTTCATGCTCTGGGTTCGTAACCAACTCGCCAACCATGGTTTGGATAACGCCTATATTTCCATTCAAAATGCCACCAACTATCCTGCCGAATAACGCAACCCAAAAATTCGAGGCGAACCCAACGATGAGTAGCGAAGCCATGGTTCCAAAGCAACCAAATAGCAGAACTGGTTTACGACCGACCTTGTCTGAGAAACCACCCCAGAACATTCCAGTCAGACTCTCTGCCAGGGAGAAAGCGGAAATGAGAAATCCGGCGTAGAAAGAGGCATTGCTCTTGTCACCTATTTTGAAATCCCTGACCATAGCCCATGAATATGGGAATATGGAGGTTAGGGCGATAGGCTCGGCTAGGCGACATATTGCTGCGGGTAGTTGAGTGTTAGTAGGAAGCACATATTTCATATTTCCAGCAAGTACTCACCAAGTATAAATAATTGCAAAGTTGGAAAACCGTCGTTAACATTAGTAGGCGGTGAAGTGGGAGGGTTTCTTTGACGTGTTAATCTCATGTTCTTTAGAAAATTTTATGATTCTTACGGCAATCCTCCAACAATTGCAGTAAACAGCGTCGGTTCTAGTGAGAAGGCCGATATGCTGCTGCTCCTGCAACCAAAGCACAGACTTGCTGCTTGTCAGGCAGGTTTCAACCCAACCGTTGACGTTTGCTAATGTTGAAAGACTTCTTCTTCTTCTACTTCTTGTTCTTTTTCTTCTTCTTCTTCTTCTTCTTCTTCTTCTTCTTCTTCTTCTTGTTCTTGCTCGTCTCGGATTATATTATTTTGTAGCCTCGAGAGTCTGCGAAATGTGTGATGATAAGAGGAGAAAAAGTGAGGGGAAAATGTGCTGATGGTCTTTTTGCGACGCGTGACGTTGAAACCGGGAACTGAGAAAAGATAGAGCGTGGGGGTAGATAAGGACACGCAGAACCGCGGGTGGCGGAAGGACGTGTGAGTGGCTAGACTGAGTCCGGAGGGCACTAGTACAGTCCACGCAGAGCTTATCCCGCCCTTGGTTGAGTACTGAGACAGGGATTCGGCTGAAAAGGAGTGAATGTGCGCACCACATGGTGGAGCCAGGACTGTTGATCACAAACTCGGTTGCAATAATAATAAAATATGCGATGGAAGCCTGCACTTGTCATGCGGCTTTGTCCTGAAGACGATAGGTTCCTTGTGGCCTGCTGCGGATCTTGGTGAATGGTTCCATAAAACTTTGAACAATTGGTACTCGTGCCATCAGCTCTTTATAAGTATCTTGCCACTATGGGACAATCAGTTATTGTAATCCATCAGGGCCAGGGCCATCACGGTCAAGTCTTCCAAAGATGCAACTTCAGAGACGCTGTCTTTCGGACATCGACTTGGCTCGACGTCTGGCTCTGAAACACCGGCTGCAGTCGCCGATGAACGTGACCTATGTTATGTAATCATATGCCAATGATGGGCCAGCCCTAAGCCCTAGGTGTATCCGTATGTGGATTAGTTTTGTTTACTGGTCCGTTGCTATGAGCAGCCCGGCTCGCCCAAAACATACATCGCGCCCAACGGCCTCATCATAGCCAGCAACTGAGAATTTTGCATTTGGCCCACGACAGACTGCTTAGCTACAAGTTACAAAACTTCAGGTAATATATATGACAGCTGTCCCTTTAATATTGACTTCTATGCGAGATGAAGTGATTTTAACAATTGACAGAATTTTTTCGAGGCAATGCTCTTTTGAAATTCCAGCAGATTATTTTTCCCTCCAAAGAATAGCCTCGTTTTTTTGATAGTCAAATCTATGGCGAGTCCTTCATCTATTCTTTCCCCGCTTTCCTCTGCAAAGCAAAATGCGCGATCTACTCTTGTCGACGGAGTCCATACGGATACAAAGGCGATAACCCGCAGTCCTCGTGCAAGTTTGGGAAATGGTTTTACAATTTACGATGAAAACGCATCACCCACAGTTGACATTTGCCAAGAATCTCCGTGTATCACTGACTACGTGGGAGAAGACACCATGCGCACCGAGAACCCTCCAAGCTCTCCTTTTCAGGAAACTGTGTCAAGTGAACCCACTAGCCTCCAAAACTTACCTCTCTTGCAAAATGAAGCGGACTCTCTCGGAAATGATAATTATTATCGCCAAGATGATGTTGATATGGAGCGAGAGCCTAACATGGTGGAGGAACCAGATCTTGCGATAGATGCGACGCCGGTCGCGAATACTGACATTATTGTCGACAAACAAGTAAATTGTGATATTTTCGAAGCTGATAACAGTGTCATTCATCACCAATACACGACACGAAAGGTATCTACCATGACCGTTAGCAATGAAAATATGAGCATAGTTTTCCAACATGACGAGAATGAAGCTATTGTTGATGGCGTGGGGGGACATGCCCAGCTAAACTATGATATTGGGGATGATACATGTTTAAGCACTTTTTCAGCTGTTCCAAATGCTGACATGACCCTCTTCGCTAAGTTGAGAGCCGATTCGCCCTTAAAAAGACTCAGGGAAAACGCAACCAGCCCACGCAAGGCACCAACCCCCTCCAGGTTGAGGGACTCTATTCAAGAATCTCCGGGAACTAATAAACGTGACTATAGACGACATGGCTGGGCCGATCACAGCGAACATGGCTCTCCAACGCCCGGGAGAAAATATCCTCGACTTGAGGAAACTGCAAACCTGCTTGACTTTACGGACCAAATGACTTCTGTTTCAAATCAGTGTCCTAGTGACCCTGTATACGGTTCTCCACGTCGCCTGCCGCGTGGCTCGCCTCTAAAAGCTGCAGAACGGCTACGATCGCCAACCAAATTATCCTTGCTAGACTTTGACATACCTCCAGCTCCAACTCCACGCTCAATTCCGAGTATCACCCCGAAAGAGTTGGAGTCATTAAAGTCCTCATTTTTATCCCAGATATCTTCTCTCAAGGCTACATTGAGTGGGAAGGATGCTGAGGTTGCAAGCTTAAAAGAAGCTGTAACAGACGCAGAAAGTCGAGTTGGAGAGGCCTTAGAAGAGGTGAGAAATGAATCGGCAAGAAGAGAAGCGATGGAGTCTGAGCAGCGAGAATGGGAGCGACGTGGTAAAGAAATGGAAACTGTTCTGAGGGGCGTGAAGGCTGAAATCGTCGACGGGGAACGTGAGAGGAAGAGACTCCAAGACAAGATTGAAGAAGTTGAAAAATCGAAAGAGCACCTAGAAGGGAGGATAGTAGAGCTACAAAGCCAGCTTTCAACTTCTAGGCCAACCGATTCACAGCAGGGTGCGATTTTATCTTCCAACCCAGATCTGAAAACACCAGATGATGTGGCCAGGGAGGTTCAAGATGCAGTTGAGAAAGTTGCCCGCGAACTCCACACTTTGTACAAGGGGAAACATGAAACAAAAGTGGCTGCCCTGAAGAAAAGCTATGAAGCCCGATGGGAGAAGCGTGTAAGAGAAGCAGAGAAACGGATTAGAGATACTACGGAAGAGAACGCACGTCTCAAACATGAAAGGGATACTGCCATCATTGACGCAAATACCAATCCCTCTGTTGGCGATACCACAATGCTACGCGATAACGAGCAACTAGAGGCCGAGAAACGTGTCTTGGAGGCTAGGATTAAGGGTTTAGAGCAAGAGATGCTTTCTATCAAGCACGATAATGACTCTCTCAGCGAACAGCTGAAGAACGAACGGGCAGAAAAAGGTGATCTTGTTGCTGTCGTCGATGAATGGCTTGCAATGCAGCAACAGCAACAGCAGCAACAGCATGAAGAGGATACACCACCACCGCCCCCACCGCATGCGGAGCGCGAACTTTCTATTTCTCGGATGACGTCAGAACATGAAAATGAGACAGCACAAACCCCTAGACCTAAATCAGAAGTCTATGAGAAGGCCGTCTACGTCCCTATAAACAACGAGAATGCCCCTCCCGCTGGCGGCATTGCGCGTTTTAATAATGGTTTAAGCGGGGCCCGGCCTCGTCCTACTGGTCCAACGCCAAAAAGCTCACGGTTCGGTATGCCCAGCGGCCATGTAAGAGGAAATAGCAGGGATGAGAAAGGCGTAAGCGGTATTCCAAGCAAGACACCCCTTGCGCCACGAAGTGGAATTATGAGCTCAATTGAAAAAATGGGGAGAGGAGGGTGATTTTTTTTTCAAGTTGGACTAGTACTTGTGTGAGGGAGTCTGCAGGTGTTTTGAGTCATGAGAATCTGCATTTGTCTTTTCTATATTTGCTCGTAGGGTATCTTTTGGGATCGATGGGTTATTTCTGGGTGATATGTATGTACCACTGATGTGCGTAAATTGCATGATGTCCCGAGAACATGAAATGACTATGAATAATGACCGATGCATTTAATCCTACCACTAACCAGTTTCAAGCTCTTCACAATATACATGAATGAAGGTATATACAGATATACCTGCTTAAGGCATGAGGGCGATGGATAGAAATTCCTAGACTTCCGGATTCTTTGCCCCCATCTTCTGGATCTCATTGTTGACCTCATCGGCAATGTCGTACGCCCACAATTGCGTCAGCCATGCAGGCGTTGGTAGCTTACCTACGATACAACATTATTAGATATCACCCAGAATATAGAACCGCCACTTACCCATGATGAACAAGGCAAGGTACATTATAAACTCGGCCACTTTGCTAATATTCTTTTTGTTGTTATCGAAACCTTTTGCCCTTTCCTGAATAGCCCGAACACGTGGCTGGCGGATCTCCATGTGTTTTGCCATCGTCTGAGCAATTGCTTCTTTCTCAACTGTAGCAATATCGCACAAGGATATATTTTTTGAAGTGTTATATATCTGTTTTAGTAGGTGAGCAAAAAGCATCGAAAAGCACTCGACGTCCTCCAAAGCCTGACATGTTCCCTGTCCTGAAGTGGGTGTGAGTGTGTGCGCGGCGTCCCCAATGAGTATGACACCGTCTCGGGACCAGGTGGGCAGTTCTGGAGTTGAGTTTTGGGGGAAAATTGTTTGAATTTGGGCCATACTGAGAATCTTCTTGATGGCTGGGTCTTTCCAGGAGTCAAGTCGGGTATGTAAGTCTCGCAATATGGCTTCTTTGTCTACAGATTTGGGGTCTGGGCAACTGTCCATTTGGTAAGTTGACCACCACATTATTGTGTTATCAGACGCCGTGTCACCGGCTTGCATCGTGCTGGGGCGTTCTGGCGAGACCTCCGGTGACTGTACAAAGGAATACCCACAAAAGCCGTTCCCCCCAAATATGAAATTCATGGTACTTGGCTCGATAAAAGTTTTAAATTCATCGGATTGCATTACTCCTCCAACCCCAACAAGTCCGCTAAGCAAGATCATTGGTTCAATTAGGAACCTACAGAGTCTCGAGGGAGGTCTGATTACTTGCCTAAAAATAGGAGGATATAGGTCTTCCGAAGCGTCGGGAAACAAAGCTCTTCTTGTCGGGCTCCTCAAACCATCAGCGCCAATAATCAAGTCTGCTTCAACATCCGAAGTACCATCAGCAAACTTAACAACACTTCTTCCATTCGCATTGGCAATGACTTGAGACACTCTCTTTGTCACTATAACGTCATCGGGAACGTAGCTGCGTAGGCAATTCCACAGAGCGTGGCGGCTCAATGAGATGGACTGGATACCGCTGAATTCGCAAGGCATTCGGGCCAGCATCCAGCCGTATGCACTGATAAACCTTTGTTCTTTGAAAAGATGTCCTGCACGTTGTACATCTCGAGCGAGGTCCTCGTTAAGGCGCTGCAAAGATCTTACTCCATTTGGGTGAAGTCCAATACCTCCACCAACCACGAGCGTCGCGGAATGGGCCTCGCCTGGGGTAATTTGAGTAGGACGGTTCCGCGGAGTGTCGTAGGCTTCAAAAATAGTATACTGATGCTCATCCGCAGGTGCTGGAGGCTGTGGGAGGCGCTTCTTCAAGGCGAGATATATTGCGCATCCACTGATGCCTCCACCAATAATGGCAATCTTCATAATTGTTTGAACTGCTAATCGACTTGTATATAAATTCCTGTGTCAATTAGATGGTGCCGATGGTCATAGGCACCCAGGTCGTATTTAATTATTTTGCAGAACCGAAATTTGGCTGCCTGTTAAAAGTTTCTGGTACTCCTGCAGTGGTAGCAATCGACAGTATTTCCATTTCGACGGGGTACTCCCTGCCAGGTACCAATCATAAGGCTCAGAATGAGCAGGTCAAAGTATGTAGGTCCTGTAAGCAACATGGAGGACTAATGTAGCGACTTGTAGTTAACTGAGCTGATGTGTGATATGCTGGTGGCTAGTAAGACAGAGTAAAGTTCGCCCAATCAGCAATGAAATGAACTAACTACTCCGTATTAGCAGGCAGAACAGTTCTTTTACGCTGGTCAAAGTTCCACGAATGGAGACCTTGCAGGGGCACGCAGCCATAATAACCCATATTCGATTCATCCTTTTGATTCAGCAAATATAGGAAGCCATGCAGCACTTGTTAGTATGGAACTAGTTGTCTGTTGGGTGATGTGTCATTTGGGCAGACAGGGCGGTAGCATGGAATTGAGACTTCTGTGTCCTTCTCGTGTATTTCCTTTAACTGCACAGCTCTTCTTGACTACTAGAGCTAAAGCTCCGAATACATAAGTGTGAGGATCCAAGCTACGCCCAAAGTCCGTTACATACGTAAATAGACTCGCTAGGGCTTTGATTTCAGGGCTTTGCCATCACATGAGTATAGTTGATCCTGAACCTAACCTTAATAGACTTTCAATAATTAATAGGTATTCATGGCAAGGTGTTTTGTCCCGTCAAACAGATTCGATTTGCCTTGACTGGAAGGTGTTTCTCTCTAGACAATAAAGCAAGCCTCCTATGACAAGATTCTAGCCGCGGGATATATCCCGGCATACTGTGCGGAAGGACATACAGGCTTCCCACTGCTGCGGTATTTTGCAATTTTGGTTGGACTCTGTTGCAGCATTTCCTTGTGCACCTTCTCAACATGACATATGCCGTATGATTGGTGGATGCGAACACTGGAGATACCATGGATCTGAATATGAAAATGAATCGGAAACGCCGGTGGGACGTCGGACATTGGGTCACTTATCTCTATTGAAAGCGCCCGGCTCCATGATTCAACAAGAAGCCTAGGAGAACGCCGGGCAAGCCTTTCGATTTCTCAATGACGAGCCACATTGCTGGCTTAGTCTGATCAGGCTGCCTTGTGGACGGGCTTCGTCTTCGCCGCACTGATGAAACCGAGGTGTCTGCGTGAAGAACAGAACTCTGGACCGAAGTCTGTCAATCGTTGACGTGTAAGGCATCTAGCCCACCACGGTGGTGCTGGCGTCTTTTTTCTCTCACCACGCGTGCCCATCCCGCGGCATTCCGTTGCGGCAAGAATGCACGTTTTGCTGTCACGGACGTCGAAACTTGCCTATTTGGGTTAGGCTTTAGGGCTAACCTTGCCTATTGATACCCCAATGCGGAAGGATGTCAATAAGCAGCGTTTCGCCTTCTGGCGGCGGATTTGATATTGCCTCGCTGCTGCGTCACCCGCATCGCCGCCCATTGTCCGCACAATGAACCTGTTCCCAGCGCCTGGCCCTGCGCTACCCGCGCGAGCGCCGCTGGCCACCGGCAGTCTTAGCCCGTCCACCCCATGTGTTCCTTGGAGATACCCCCGTTCTCAACGCATTTACCAATGCTTGACGAAACTTAGCTCCAGCCATGTCTCCCTTAGCTGAGGCATTTCCCAGACAACAGGCTGTCGTGGGCGCTGAAGGTTTAGTGTAAAATATCTGGAATCGCAAGTCGACGTCCGTTCTCAAAAAATTTCGGCCGTCTTCCAGCCACGTCTCGTGTTTAGATTTGATTCTATCAAATTTCTTTATCCTAAGAGGAAAATGCCTCGGTGACCAGTGAACCTTGTGTTGCCTGACGAATGTATTCTTCAATCGGCCCTTTTTCTATAAATTGAACCTGCTCCTTGCGGCTCAATCGGTTCTATTTCAAACTGGAGATTACAATCTTGTCAGAACACGATATCAATTTCCTAGGACTCTTATTTCGCTCAGCTATCTACACAGCAGCAAACATGAAGCTCTTGACCTACCTCTTTGCCATTGCTGCTGCCTCCATGGCCGTTGTTGCTGTTCCAACTCCTCAGGACGGGGCTGCTGCCCCAATTGAGAAGCGGGAGCCTGAGCCAGCACCTGGTATGATATGCTTCTTACCTTTTTTCAAGAGGTTCCGCAGCTAATAGCAGCAAATAGTCGATAAGAGATGGTGCAGCCGGGTTGGCCAGCCTTGCTAAATTCCTCGGGAACCCTCCACACGTCATGCCCGATCTACTTTAGCCAACCTTACCACGGCGTGTGCGAGAAATGCAGCATGACACAGCCATTGCTGCTACTTACTTCTCGAAGACTCGTGGACCTACTCCCAGCGGCATTGTTTTCTAGTCTATTTACGCACAATACAGCTCCACCAATTCGTCTAATCCAAACCAGATCACCGAACACTTGGATTAGATACCACCATATATCAGCAAGATAAACATCACTTCATGGTAACCTGATCAGGACCTATCTATCCCTGGGTTGCCTACATATCGACGATATCGGCGGACAACATACGAATGGGGTTTCAACGCGGGTTAACGTTTTGTTTCTTGCACATTTTTTATTATATTCAGCTCATCCATATTCACTCTTTCTATGGGCGAGCTGCTGTGCTTATATTATTTGGGAGGCCATTCTTTTTCGTTATAATGCGGTACGGATATGGGACAAGGCTGTACCATATAGGTATACAACCACTTTCAGTATATTTATATATACAGGTATACTTTATTCCTTCGTTGTATATCATGAAGACCCTATCCCTTGTTTGATAGTTATCTTATTTTGATTTAAAGTCTTTGTAGGTCTCATGGGAATCTAAAGGTCTAAAACCATAATGAAGTTTGGTATACTCTTTTAAAGCATAGGTTTGAGCTAATTGTTATGGTGCAAGCTGGAAGTACAGCTGGGATATAGTGCAGAGTACGGAGTATCGCTAAGCATATTGGAGCTTGATTATGTCTGAAGCCAGCGAAATTCTACATTGCATAAGACATGGCATGCCAATCACTAAAGCAGATTTATTTATGACAGAACTATATGTCGGTACGACGTTACCTGATCAGTTTGGGTAGGAAAAGTCTTGATGGATAGTCATTATTGTTGCTGGCACTATTTATACACTTCCAAGTTAGTAAAACGGTGACTCTAAAATAAAGCAGTATTAGCGGCCTCGGAATGGGTCCGTGATCACTTCGCCAAGGCATCAAGCTCCGGTATGACCGAGCGGGACGGAGTGGGTGGGCTGCCCAGCCCCTAAACAGCCATACTCCCATCGGTACCCTTGCGCCCTGTGACTTATGAACCTGGAATGCTGTTGTTACTGTTCTTGAGCAAAGGAGCACTGTACTCCGTATGATATCATGCCTCGGCAAATAGACTTATTGTAGGCCAAGAATATTAATGAGCAAAAAAAGCCACCATATGATGATGCCAGCCAGTGGAGGTAAGTACGGAGTAGACACAGTCGATAACGACTGCTTGTGGCAGCGGTTGATTGCTTGTGAGCTTCAATCTCCACCTCGCCTTGTTCGAGTCATTCGATAGCAGAGCAAATGGTTGAACCCAACGATTTCCTGTTGTCAAATCAGATCGGGTTTGAGCAAAAGGGGATACTCCAACCGCAGCCCCTGTGAACTTCCATATTATTGCAATCGACGCTTCAAGTTTCAGGTGCCGTATCCAGGGCTCCGGGTTCCAGTTGTGTGATGGTAAGGTGGAGAAACTACTCGCCGCTAGATGGCTTTGAGACACTTTGGCTCCTAGTGGTGGCTAGGGAAGGAACCGCGCTTGGAAGTTCTTTTCCGCTTGGTGAATAATGACTGGACTCGCCACAGTTGGAGGGAGTTTTAATAAAAAAAGGCAGGTGCCTTGGGGTCTTTTTGATCAATTTTTCAGTAGTGTCTGATTGCAAAAAAATTTAAGTCTAATCCTTGAGGTAATGCACGGACTTTTGTTCTGAAATAGTCACACTTCGTGCGACACTCCAGCCTGGATTGATGAGCGAATACGCTTGGTTTGTGGAGGGCAATCCGCCAACTTTGTTATTTAGGGTAAAGAATATTAGGTTGGTTGCTATAGGCTGTGGCTTTGGCCTTTCTTGCTCCTGTCGAATTGCGAAGCCAGTAATACTGTCGCTCTCCCCGAGAGCATTTATTGGCGGATTTCTCAGGGGAGCGGGGTGGGTGGCGAAAGACTCCACAGAAACAACATCTGGAAGAGCAACCAGAAAGCTAATTCTGTTGAGTTCCCCATTGCTGTGCTGAGCACCGATAATTCTGCGTCCAATATTGCCAGACCTAGCGTTCCAGCTATATCTTCTGGATCAATTTATTCGTTCCAACACGCAACCCATCACAGACAACATTTTCGTTTCCTCGGGCTTCCACATATTGGATTTCGATTCCGATTCCCTGGTGTCCATATGGGGCTGGAGAGCTACGTAGTTGAAAGAGCTGCCCCTCCCCCGCCTTTCTGTTAAACAAATCGAAAACTAGCTCCCTCATCCGGCATCGGACGGGAAATGGGGTAGGAATGGGGTAAATCTGATAGTGCGTGATCGAGCCAGGGCGGAATGACAAGTCGCCGGATTCCGCAGCGGCTTGCTGAACTCTGGGGTGGCTGGCTAGATCTTGCAAGCGACCTTTTGCTTCCACCACGAGGCTCGGCTGAAGTTTGTTGCCTCCTGCTAAGCGCACAACCGAAGCGGGCAACCCAAATTCCGCCACGCCGCCGATGTCTCGAATTTGGGCTTCAGGCTCGAAGGTCTGGTTTGCCGCCCCTTTCAGTCTCGAAGATGGGCGTATGAGCGGTGTGTTTTGGCCGCAGCAACGCAGGATGCGGCGGAAGGGCCGAGCATGTGACCCGCCGTCACGATGACCGCTGACAAATAAGATTCGCACAGCCCATGGCAAATGCCTGTTTAGAACTAGCGCGGGCGCCTTCACCGAGCGCGGACGGAGCGCCGCGACGACGACGATGATGAACAGCACCCTGGGAGGGCCGAGAGCCTGGACGTGGGCAACACCGAAGGATGCGAGTGACGAGCAGACAGCCGTGTGATCCGCGCCGGCCCTTCTTCAAGGCCGATGGCCAACTCCAGGACACCAGCGAAAGAGAGCAGTCCATCACGCCAATTGAATTGTTGCGACTCGACGGGACTGGCTTGCGGAAGATATTATTCCCAGTTCGGAGTATATGTGTCCGGACTTTGAGAAGGAAGACCTTGAGCGGGAAGGGAAAAAGCAAATGACAAAAAAACGGTTGGCATAAAACCTTTTTCGACTTGCATGCATACACGCGGAGGTCCCGCCTCTTGGAATGGTGCCGTTATCCGATCGCCGAAATAGTGGCTGACATGCAACTTCTCAGCTGAATCATCACTGAAATGCCCTCGCCTCTCAACATGCTTGTGGGAAAAGCCCATCATAGTTCTGTGTAGTAAACATGTGTCGCTCGATGCTAAATTAATCTGATAGTCTCGCGCGTCCTTGTCGCTAGAATGCTCACCCTTGTCTATTGAGGCCGTTCCTGCGGGCTGCAGCAACCTATGCATAGCTCGGGGTACACGGCCCAATTTCAGCCCGGTTTCCTACCAGGTACTCCGTACTCTCCGCCTTGACTTTGGGTGCATCACCGTTTCAAATTATTATTGCTCACAGTCTGCCGGCCCGGAGTCGGCGGCCTTGTTGTTGCTTCTCGCCCGGCATTATTATGGTATTGAGGATTCAATTCCTTGGTAAGATTTCAAACTCTCCTTTCCAAACGAGCCAATCCCCTGAGACGAGTCTTGGAAAGACCAATCATGGCCACTTGGATCAGGAGTGGGCTCCAGCGTTTCTTGAGGTGGAACTTTACATAAACCTTCCATGATCCCCAAGACGCGGCCTTCTGACGAAATCTGATGCCTCCTACCCTTAGGCTTTATAGCCTTCCTTTTGGTAGAGTTTTACTACTACGCCCTTGGATGTATGCACAGACATTCTGCGGGAAAGCTATCCTTCTCGGTTCTTAGGTCGGGATTTTGCTGCTCTTGGCCCCAGTCGCCGTTTTGCCGGCGACTCCTTCAAAGTAAGAAAGAAGACTAGACCCCGCCAATTCCACCCTTGAGGGAAACATTTCCCCAGTCTTCACTTTTCTCTGGGGGAGGCAAAAATAATAGCGAATTTTCCCACGAATCATAGCCCCTCTTCCAAGCCTAAGTCGGTCTTAACCTGCCCCTTTTAAGAATACCAGGGTAATTCACCACATGCACACGAGAACCTCCATCGCGCTATTATTTTATTATTAAAGGTCCAAGATCCGCCCCCCCACGTTCGCGAGTATCTACTGGAAACTTTTGGCCTTTCTCTTTTTTCGTCAACCTCTAAACACTTTGCACTCATCTTTTCACTTGCGAATTATTTTCGCACTCGGGAGTAATTTCATGGTATCAAAAAGGTGGCGCGTGCTTAGGACAGCGTTGGATTCTCAGGAGCAGGAGTTTGGAAAACCGATCTTTACATAAGTCTCTAGGGCTGACTGACAATTCGATTCGGACAGCTGTTTTTCTATTGCAAGAATGGCGTCCACACAAATCACAAATGGTCAGCCGCAAAGTAAGCGGAAAGCTGCTGCGGCAGGAGTTGGTGGAACAACTCGGCCCGTCAAAAGACGTGCATCTAAAGCATGTTGCTGTTGCAGAGCTCGAAAAGTAAGATGCGATGTGGTGGAAAATGGCTCACCCTGTACAAATTGTCGTTTGGACGAGGTGGAGTGCATCGTGACGGAGAGTAAGCGAAGAAAGTTCGTCTCCCTAGCATGAGAATGAGATAGATTGGACAGCAAGAGCCACAGATCTGGTTTCTTTGCATCGAATCAGCCGGCTGATTCTAGATTTACTTTTATAGGAAATCACGAGCTGATGGAGAGGGTAGCAAAACTTCTCCAGAGCCTTTGGCCGAGGTATCAGAAGATATGCCGTTCTCTCTTGGTCCACAGCGAATCAGCCATATTCCCTCTTCCTTATCTGAAACACTTCTTTCCTTGTCACCGGAAGAGCGCTGCGTAAATTTGGAGAGGGGACAGCATGTCCCCCACCTGATCTGTATGCGTGTACAGATGCCACCAGGTTTATAGCTCTGATCAGGCTAATACGATTCATAGATCAAACGCAGGGGCAGCGCCTGAAGGATGATTCAAGACACAAACGAACGTCTGGCCCGAGTAATCTCTTACCTTCAGTTTTTCCCGCCTGTACCGTCAGCCCTTCGCAACATGATATCTTGAGCTCATCACTGAGACGCCCCAAATCTTCATCACCACGTTCAGCTAAAGGACTTCTTCCCGATTACCTTCGTCCCTTACCATCGAAGTTCCAAGATGCTGATATCGACTATCTTGAAGCCAAAGGTGCCCTAACTATCCCTGAAGTTGGCCTTCGCAATGAGCTGTTACGAAATTATATTCAATGGGTTCACACATATATGCCCCTCCTGGAACTAGAAGAATTTCTATGTATCATATTTCGGGACAATGGGTTTCAGAAACTCAGCTTGCTTCTCTTCCAAGCCGTGATGTTCGCAGGGACGGCCTTCATTGATATGGAGTATCTTTATGCTGCGGGCTTTGAATCACGAAAAGCAGCTCGAAAGGCGTTTTTCCAACGAGCAAGGGTATGTATCAAAGATGTTCCTGAAACTACTTTCGAATAATTGTATCGACGTATCTAATGAGATATTAAGCTGCTCTACGATTTCGATTACGAAGTAGACCGAATCTCTCTGGTACAGTCTCTGCTCCTTATGACATATTGGTATGAGATGCCAGATGATCAAAAGGACACCTGGCACTGGATGGGAGTCAGCCTTTCATTGGCGCACACAATAGGACTGCATCGGGACCCAGCTAACTCCACTATGGATCTCAAAAGACAAAAATTGTGGAAACGGATTTGGTGGAGTACTTATTCAAGGGACCGTCTTATTGCCCTTGGCATGAGACGCCCAACCAGAATCAAGGATGAAGATTGCGATGTGCCGATGCTTCTCGTTAGCGACTTCGAGTTCAAACCATTTGCGCCTGAGGTCCTGCAAGTCCTCGGAGATCTTGAGATGGTCCACAATGTTGCTCATCAAAAAGAACTAGCAGCAATGTTTATTGAGAAAGCAAAGCTTTGTCTTTGCATCAGCCATGTCCTTTCAGCCCAATATTCTGTCCTTGGACATAAATTTGGTGGCACGACAGAGACAACGATGATGTTATTGCCTAAAAAATCAGCCGCGGAGACTTGTGAAGTACGCAGATGTGATGAGGAGTTGGAAACTTGGTTGAGCGAGCTAGCCGAAGAATCTCAATATCGGCCTCCTCCGTCGGAAATATCGTCGGGAGATGGAGTAATCTATCTGCACCGTTCACTCTTGCGTATGATATATCTTACTACTTCTAGTGCTCTTCATAGACCACAAGTTCTTCCAGCCACGCCCTTCCCCACGGTGGAAGCAGAATTACAGGCCCTATCTCGCACGAAAGTTCGGCATGCTGCTGTTGAAATCACCAATATAGCACAAACTCTGCATGGCTTGGATCTTACCCGCTATTTGCCGACAACCGGTGTTACTGTTCTGCTTCCGGCTGTTATCATTCATTTGCTGGATATCAAATCCAACGACATTAGTGTCCGCACGGCAAGCTTGAATCGCTTCTACCGATGCATGCAAATCTTACAACGAATGCGCGATGTCTACGCATCTGCCGATTTCGCTACATCTTTCCTCGAGGCTGCAATTCGCAAAGCCGGCATCCAAGTACCGTCAGAAATGCTCTCCGAGGTTGCAGTAAGACCGACGACAGTTGCTCCAGCTCATACCCGTCTTGATGCCCTAACACCACCGCCTGAAGTTCAGCCCGAGAAGCTTTCTGGACTTACTAACCATGATACCTTGATGCCATCCTTACCCACGTTTACTCGAGCCGAACCCGCAGACCAATTATTCGCTTCCACACCGCCATACTCAGTCGGGAGTGAGAATGGAAGCACTCAAAATATTCGAAATGATGACATTTTCAAAACAGCATTGTTCGATTCCGAGAATGGTAACTCAGAACCCACACTCTCGGATCTCATGGATATGGCGCATGATGCGGATATTACGCAGAATGACCTGGATGCTTTGATCAATTTTGATGATTCGAATGCGGAGTTCTTTGCTGCCGAGGACGGACTTGGCTTTGATTTTGATGTCTCTAATTCGGTGACTAACGAAAACCACCCACTATCTCTCGATGGTGCAAGCTGGATTCGTGACTTTGCTAGTAGCGGGAATCTACATGCCAACGTACCTATGTCCCTCCAGGATCCTTCTAGGGAAATGGAAGACTGCCATTCTACGACCTTAAATGGTAAAATAGATCATAACGACGATGGCAGCATCAATATGTGGGGGCAGAAATTAGATATCCCCTCATCACCTAAGCATAAAGATATGAGTGTTACGGCAGAGAATATGGCAGGCATTATCACCAAGGTGGAATTTTAATGATAAGATAAGACTTTTGCACTTTTTTTCTGCTTGTCTCCAAGGGACATGGCTACATGGCTCTAGAAACTGGCACTTTTCATAATGATGCATGTATGTGTACATATGTATGGAGTACGGACCGCACATTTTGACTCCGATTTGACGATGAGCTCAGGGGGCTAGGTCGGCTTTGGGAAAAGTTCTTGTTAGCGAAGAATAGCAAATCAATGTGTTTACTGCCCAACCCGCCCTCTCTTTTCTTCCTTGCTGACTCCGTACTCATATGCGACGATCTTCCCCATAGATGCAAACAGCGCAAACCCAAGATAAGACATCACGTGCAGGGCGTCGTCCCCACAGATTCCCAGCGAGCGCGTCGAGAAACGCGTGTTTCGTTCCCAGCGAGAGGCATCGCAGCTCCATAAATATGCTGCGTTGGCTGGCACGGAGTCTTGATGCTGTGATGTTTTTAGATCGCGCCCAGTCCGCCTGGAACGCGTTATTCAAAGATCCAAATTCGTGCTCTTCAGAACTAACTGGTAGCTCCTGCAACTTTTGGTTTCTCGCCATCACGATCCTGGTCGTTCTATTGCCCGTAGTCATCCTTTGAACCATTTCCCTGTTGGAACCCCGTCAATTTCCCTTAGTTCGTGCACCAAATCCCAAACGGCAGGGATTTGGAGGCCTCCCGCCTACAGAGTACTCTTTGATCATGTCGTTTACGAGGCCATTTGCAGGTCCTTGTTGCTGGGAACCAGCTCAGCGATAAGCACAAGTTTCAACCCTTTGCTGTATGCTAAGTTCCGTGGAGGGCGATCGATTCTTGGAATTTTCCGCAAATCCTGGGGCAGCCATCAAATGCTTGAGCAATGCTTATCTGGGCACTGTCCAGCTGTGTGGAGGTGATCGTCGCATCGCTGCCAGTAGCACCTTGAGCTATCGCATGCGATGTTACCTTCCTAGCACCACCGCGAACCAACAACACCTTGAGTACCTTCAGCTTTGGCTTGCTGGCACCCCTTGACGCGGACTTCTGGCTCGGACTATGCATGAAGCCATCTATTTTACTTCAGCGGACTGCACTATGCCGCTTCAACCTGGGCTGGTTTAACATGGGTGACCCAGAATGAACGGTTCCCCACGCCGTATTTCCCCAGTCGAAAGTGATGCCATTACCCATCACCCAACACATATAATATGAAGGCTCAGCCGTCGTTTCCTTTTATCTTCGTGTGTGACTTTGTGGACGCTTTCCGAGGCTCATTCGTTTGGCCCACGTTACCACCATGAAGGCGTCAGCCGTACCTTTGGCCCTACAATGGGCGGCATTGTTTGTGCCATTCGTCAATGGAGCTGCGGTTCCTGGATTCCAACCCGAAATGTTCAAACGCCAGCTGCCTAAGCCGCCAAAGGGGGTCCAGGAGATCTGGTCGCCGGATGGTGCGCGTATCAGATATAAAGAACCTGGAAAAGAAGGGGTGTGCGAAACAACCCCAGGCGTCAATTCGTACTCTGGGTATGTCGACCTCGGGCACGATTCGCACACATTCTTCTGGTTCTTTGAAGCGAGACACGATCCCGCAAATAAGCCCATCACCCTTTGGCTCAATGGCGGGCCTGGAAGTGATTCTATGATTGGTCTCTTTCAAGGTACGCTTTCCCAAAGTGCTGAGCATCGTACAGATGTACTAACGAAGAAGTAGAGCTTGGCCCGTGCAATATCACTGAGGATCTAAAGTCTAAGGTTAATCCGTACTCATGGTCGGAAGTGTCCAATCTTCTTTTCCTTAGTCAACCTGTTGGTGTTGGTGAGTTGTGATCATGACGATAAACGAGTATACGGATTTAATTGGATCCTAGGGTTCTCGTATAGCACTAAACAAGTCGGCTCGATGAACCGTTTAACCGAAGATATTGATCCACCTAGTGTGAATGGAACGACTGGTCGATGGCCAGCAATCGTCCCCTCTAAAGTTGGTACGTGGATTTCTAGTTAACTAGGCATTTGGCACCAGCAGCGGCTTATTTGAATTGCATGTAGAAACAAGTCTTGAAGCTGCCAAAGCATCATGGAATGTACTTCAAGCCTTCTATAAAGTCTTGCCTCGCCTTGATAGTAAAATCAAGTCAAAGAGCTTTAACCTTTGGACAGAGAGTTATGGAGGGTGAGTCAATAACAATTCTTCCTATTATTATGGTATATCTAACTGGAATTAGACACTATGGGCCGAGCGTAGGTTGCCATATCACTCTCCCAAACAAGATATACTAAGAACACCTTTTGTCAGTTTTTCAAATACTTCGAAGAACAGAACAAGAAGATTGCTAGTGGTAAATCCCACGGAGTCCAACTAGATTTCAATACTCTTGGTATTATAAACGGTCTTGTCGATTTATCTGTTCAGGTTAGTGCTTCTTGCTATCAAGCAAGTTCAAAAAAGACTAAAAGGCTTACCGTTTGATAGGCTCCCCAATATATCGAATTTGCCGAAAAGAATACGTACGGGATTCACCCGGTATGATTTGGATTCTTAAAGAAACTCTACTCCATGAGACTAACTCCTACATAGCTTAACCAAACTGTTATCAATTACATGAAAATGGCCAACTCTATGCCCTCCGGGTGCCAAGACCAACTGGCAGCATGTAAACAATTGAACCGAACATCTCTTGTGCCATATAGTATTTGCAGCGAGGCTCACTATATGTGTCGGGACAATGTTGGTAAGTGGTACCTCCCGGTAAAAGGGATAAGCACTAATCCTTTGCATACAGAGGGCTTATGGTATGCTTTCACTGATCGAGGAGTCTACGATATCCGCCATCCGCGAGACGTGAGTTGCATTGCCTTCATATCAGAATATGTCAGTAATTAAAAATTTTAGGATCCAACTCCCCCTGAGTATTACAGAGACTATCTCAACAAGGCCGATGTCCAGAATGCCATTGGTGTTGACTTCAATTATACAAGATCTTACAACCCCCAGGTTTACGCTGCCTTTAGTCGTACTGGTGATTGGGGATTCCCCGATTTCATGAAGGACTTGGAAGAGATTTTGGAAATGCCCGTGCGTGTCACTTTGATGTATGGCGATGCCGACTACATTTGCAACTGGTTCGGCGGGGAGGCAGTGTCTCTTGCTATGAACTATACGCACGCAGACAAATTCAGAAAGGCCGGCTATGCTCCATTCCTCGTCGACGGTGCGGAATACGGCTCTATTAGGGAGTATGGCAATTTCTCGTTTGCCAGAATATATGAGGCTGGGCACGAAGTTCCCTGTACGTCAATTGTCCCCCCTTTTCTGTGAAATGAGGTGAATAGTTGGGGGCTAACAGAGAACTATAGATTATCAACCACTGGCATCTCTCCAATACTTCAACCGCACGTTGAATGGATGGGACCTAGCAACCGGAAAAACTAAAATCACTGCGGGCTATGGCACCACCGGCCCTAACAAGTCCACACACACGCAGTCGTATGTTCCCTTGCCCTCTAGCACCGGTAAATGAACCGTGGGTAGGGAGGGGAATGGGGTTCAAGACCGCACCTTAGTATATAATGTGAAGTAATGGACAATGATGGTTACTACTCTCTTGCATCCTCAATAATATAATAATATAGCCATGCCACCAGGTTGCCTCACTGCATTTTTTTTTTTACCTAGGTTCTAAGCAACTGTGTCACCGCCCTCCAACATGCCGATAGATATTACAACTTTTGCCGAAGATAAACAGTATGCATCACAACCCATGGCTGCTTCCCAAGCGCAATTCCAAGGAATAATATAATAATACTTAAGCCAGGCCGTCGCTATATGTCTGTATGTATTATACATACGTTTACGAAGGCATCTCGTGCACAATAATGAATCCAGGATAACCAACTACCCTCAAGCATCTACGCAAGACATCATATTTCGAACCTACTTGATCCTTGCTGCCACCGAGCTTAACTCCGTCGGCAACCGACGAAAGGCCTTCCAGGATGTAATCCCGATCCGCAGATAACATCTCCCAGGCTCCTTACCGATCTCATTTTTGTGATATGCTTCTCAGCCGGACAAGATTGCGAGAACTGACTCATTTATTTGCCGCTGTGTGTCTGTTTCTGCATGCTGACGAGGTCAGCAGGGTTGTTTTTTTCTTTTTTCGTTTCTTGAGTGGTGCGAGAGGCATCCGATATTCGGCGAGAGAGAGAGAGAGAGAGAGAGCAAATCTGAGGGAAATAATATTTGCCGGCAACTTGGAGTTGAACATGTCAGAACTTCGATCCTCGGCGCGTAACCACTCTCCGTATATATATGTACGCCGTATGTGGTCATGTCGGGAGAGAGGAGTTCGAGTGCGCTTTGATTTGATTGTTGGCCGAGGCCGAGACTGGTGCAAGGGTCCATGGAGGTTGCTTCGACCCCTGTGCTATAATAGCAACAGTCCCTGTCCCTGCTGCAGACGGCCAGCTTTTCAACCAGGCCGGGCCTTGCAGTCTTCTTTGAAAGTCTGTTCGTCAATGGCAGCCAATCGAACGAGCGGCTGAACGATCCCATTCGAAACGGTGGGCTTTCGATTCCCGATAGGTTCCTTTAACAACAGGAACACCGCGCGCTCGCATTTCCGGCCCCAGGGGGTCGGCAAAACAAAGAAAGCAAGCAAAAACTCAAGAAAGAGAGAGAGAGAGATGGATGCGCACGACGGTTTACGAGAAATATGACGGCGGCCAAGTCACCGACGCCATGCTGCAGCAAGCCGCGCAGCTGTTTAGCGAGAACTATGGGGTCTGGGGGAGCAGCGCGGCACAGGCTGTCGGCCGTTTTGCCAGAGAAGGTATGCAGTTTCGGTAGCTAGTTCACGGGAGAATAATGCTGTGATGCTGTATCCATATCCATACGGGCGTTCAGCGGCCCCAGGCTCAACCCAGGCACGGCTGACCGAAGGAACCGCAAATAACAAGGCTCTCGCGTCAAGATGTCCGCCGCTCGCCTGCGGGCGCAGTGCATGCCCAACGACGACGACGACAACGATGGCGGCGCGGCCGCCTCGTACGTCCGGGTCTTCGTCGACGGCGTGCTGGCCGGCCATGTGTTTGCGTGTCGCTGGACTTACCGCAGCCAGGATGACGACGACGCCGACAACGACAGCAGCAGCCCAGGCCGAACGGTGTGCTGGATCACGCAGCTCGTGGTGCATCGCGAGTATCGTCGGCGCGGGCTGGCCACGGGCCTGCTGAACGAACTGCGCGAGACGAACAGCAGCGGCGGCGGTGAAGTCTGCGGCATCCTGAGCTCGCATCCAGCAGCGTGTCTGACGGTCGCGAAGGTGTTTCGACGTAACTACTGACTCCTTTCATAGACTACTTACTTTCAATGCTTGCTTGCCTCTGCTAGATTTTCTCATTTGCTATCATTCTATCTAACATTCCTCCCTCTAGGCAGCTGTATCCGGCTGGACTTCATCCAGGCCCACGCCGCCGCCATCATGAAGGCGTCGCCCGTCTCGTATGTCCGAGACGCCCGGCTCCACGGCAGCCTCTTCGACTCCGCGACGAATCCTCACGGAGCCGTGTCGTCGGCAGACACCAACTTCCACGTCGACCACCGCGAGCCGTCCGCGGCGCTGGCCGAGATTCGCGCGACGATGGATCATTATTGGCCGCTGGGCGACCTGGGCGGCGACGGCCACGAGTACCTCCTCATCGTGTGATGAGGGTGTCCATGTATGTTATGTGCCCTGCCACCGCACGCCGTTACAGTGCCATTGGGGGGGGGGGGGGGGGGGGGAACTCTCTGGGTTGGTTTTGTTCCTCTGTGCGACGGTGAGAAGGGGGTGGGTGTCATTGAGAATGTAGCACAGAAACGACGGATCTGTTTTTGTTTCCCGTTGTTTCACGCTCGGCTTTTCTGGAAGTCCATGATGCTGTGTAAGGCGTCGTCGGTGCATGGCGCTGCGCCAGCCCGTTTTTTCCGTTTTTTTTTTTTTTTTTTTTTTTCCCTCTTTGCGAACACGGCCCGTGGATGGAGACAGAGCCGTGTCTTGTCTTGGGCAGGAAGGGCGCAGAGCACGCCATGCCGCCGTCGCGTTCTTTCGCCTCGTATAGTTAGCTACTCCAGCGAATATACGCACGCACGGGCCGGACGGCGGAAAAAGTCAATGGTTCGAATTGAATTGAATGGAATTGAGTTGGTGTTTATTAGTAAAAATCCGCAATAGGTACTAGAAGACAACCAGAAGGATTTCCCGTTCCCACATCGCCAGACAAAAAAGGTACAACATTGATTACAAAAGAAAATAAAGGCCCGTTCCGTGTTCCCGCAGTAAAAGTGAAAAATGGCGCCCTCCAAATATCAGAAGCAATGCAAGGTAAACAGTATCCGTATTTGAGCTTTCCCTCCGGTATCATGATGAATCGTATCCCATGCACCGAACCCCGTTTTGACTCCTGGCAAAAAGAAGAGATAGCGCCACCCTTTAAAAAGAAATTAAGTTTACTTCTCGTTATGTTCCAAGACATGCGGAGCAGCAACGTCTTCGAGGACTTCGTCGGAGAATTTGATATCTTCCTCGAGGTTGACAGTGTCTTTGATCTTCCAGAACACGACGGGCGCCGCGACAACCAGAGATCCAGCGAGGAGACCCCAGGTGGAGCCGAAGTAGACCTTGTACGAAACATTCAAAGTGTCGAGACTAGAAGGAGGGGTATTTAGTCAGAGGACGATATTCTTTTGAGATCAATCACAGAATAAATAGCCCAACATACCGCCATGTGATCGCTCCACCAGCGGACTGGATACCCTTGTAAAAAGCGGCGAAGTGGGCCAGTTTACGGCTATTGTTTGTCAGAGACCCCATGAACCTAAAATGTGCCCGTTAGCAAGTACGTCCGGTAGAAAGTAACGACGAGAGGTAGACGTAAGCGTACCAGTAGCAGCAGGTCTGGAAGGCAGCATCGTAGAAGCCGTAGAAGAGATAGAGAAACATGGGGCCAACATAGCCTCTGTCTTCCCAGTCGATGCGGTGAGTGGATTCGGTGATGTCTTTGCGATCATAGCCCTTCTGGAACGCCCAGCCACCGCCCCACACCCCCATGGTGAGGGCGAAAAGGAGCACGAGACCCGCGCGGGCACGCAGAGTGCGGCGAAGGGACTTGATGTCGAGCAGGTAGCCGAAGACAAAGGCACCCACCATCTGGAAGAGCCAGTAGAGAACATTGTTCAGAGCACGGGTGCGGATGTTGAACTTGGGCAGATTGACGGCATTGAACTGATAGGTGGTGAACCAGTTGCTGGCAAGGAACATTGGGAAAAAGAAGACAATGTAGGCATCAGTGCGCAAGACATGGACAAGGCCCAACAGTTCAGATTTCCAGGAGGGGTTCTTCATGAGAATGACGCTGGAGCCATCAACACGGCGAACATACTTTGGGTTGACCAGAGTGAAGGCAAGCACGAAGCCAAGGAACATGAGAACCATGAAGGCAATGTAAGTTCCATTGTTGACGGCATTGGCTTTGCTGTGGATGTTTTGGCCGAGAGGAACCTATCAGGTTTGGTGTAAATTTGGGTTTGTTAGATAGCAGGGGGTATCAATCTCTTACCAAGCTTCCAATGACACCACCCAAATTGAAAATAATCCAGAACCAAGAGATGAATTTGCCCTTGGAATGCTCGTCGGGATAGCTCATCATGATGGCGCCCTGGGCAGTCCACAAGCAGCCGGCACAGACACCCAGAAGGGCGCCAGCAAAGATAAGAAAGCCGGTGTTCTTGTTGAAGTTGTAGGACAAGATAGACGCGACATAGAGAAAGTAGCCGAAGCCACCGAAGAACAAGGTCGGGCGAAGGCCCAAACGATTGGCAATAGAACCGGCAAAGAAGCCCACAACAGCGAAGGTGGAGTACAGGGCGGTGTTTGCTTTGTTGACATCGTGGCCGTCAATCTGCCCACCACCACCCAGGCCGTTCACAGCGTTGAACATGCCCGGGCAGAGGAAGCACACAAAGGAGACGATGAGCAATTGGGAGATGGGGGAGGCGTAGCAGGGCAGGGTCAGCGGGCCGATCTTGGGACACCTGTACATCCATGCCTTGCCACGGGAGGAAGAGGGGCCAAGGCCTTCCTCATCAGCAACCTCCTTGTGCGGCGGGATAGCAGTATCAGGCTCTTTCCGGTCAGCACTCGCCATGGCGGTGACGCGCAGTGAGGGGAAGCTAGTGACAGGTTAATGAATTGAGCAGACTGGTAGGGGAGCAAAGTGAGGTGAGTATGAGATGAAGAAAGAAAAGAAGAAGACAACAAAGAAGAGAAAGAGGCAGAGGCAGAGGTAGAAAAACAGCCAGCAGAACCACGTGAGGGCAGCTGTGTTGGTAACCAGAGAGACGCCGGAGAATTGCGTGAAGACAGGAATTACCCGGGCGGATATCCAGGCAGGCTGATGCACACACACACACATATACATATAGAGAGAGAGAGAGAGAGACATATAGCATAGCTGGCCCTGGCCAGGGCCCTTGCGGCGGCGCATGATAGACAGCGAACGAACAGAGGGAGCGGGAGCGAGACCAAGGAGGGCAACTCACGGTCAGCAGGGAGGGCGGTCGCAGCGGCAATCGCACCAGCAGCACCGGCTGCAGGACCAGGAGCAGCTGCAGCAGCAAAAATGGGGTCGGGCCCCCGTCTAGGGTGTGCGGTCCGCGAGCAAGGAGGAGAGGCCGGAGGAGCAGCGAAAGGCGAACAGGCGGCGCGCGATGAGCCAGCGACAGGCAGTGTAGGGGCCCAACGTGGCAGTGGAGCTGGCAGCCGGGGCCGGCGAGCGACGATCAAAGCAAAAAAGAATAAAAAATAAAACCAAAGCAAAGCAAGCCAGCGTCGCGACAGAGCAGCGCAGCGCAGCGCAGCGCAGGCAGGGATGCTGGGGGGGGGATGGGCAGGCAGTTTTATCTGCGGCTTCTCGCCCGCGGCGCTGATTTGGATCGCCCAGCCCGTCTCGTTTCTCGCCCGCGCCCGGCCGCAAGCGCAGAGCTTATCGCGGCCAGCACGCGAAGAGTAATAAGAACAATATCATAACTCTCGGCCTCGAACTACGAACTGTGCGCTGCTGCTGTACACGCCCGGCCTGCGTCTGCCGTGCCACCACGCCGACCGCTGCCGTGCACGCCGTTTCGACCCTTTGTTTCGCTCTCTCTGTGTCTCTCCGTCCGTACGACTATATCGCCCTCCTCATCTTCTCCGACCACACCGTTGCACACCCAGGCTCCGTCGCCGCGTCGCAGACCAGCCCGCGGCGCCGTCATCTGACTGCCTCGTCGCCGCCGCCCATCCGCCCTCCGCCAGCCAGCGCGCCCGGCCGCACACCACCAGCCCGTGCGACAGCCCGAGCGAACGAGCTATCACGAACTCGCTCTGCCTTGCTCGGCGCACACGCGACAGCTGAGCAGCGCGCGAGAGGAGCGCGATGATGCAACCGCGCCGCGAGCGTGGCATTCGAGACCCGATCGCCAGCTCCGAGACGCCCATCCTCCAATGATAATAACTAATAGACTTCCCGCTGCTGGAGCCTGCCCGCCAGCGCGCATCTGGCCTAGGCGCGCCGCGAGGTTACATCGCCCGGCGATCCAGAAGCTGTGGCTGCAGCATCGGAGGATTATTTCCCCCAAAAATATATCTGACAGCCTGCAGACTGGTGGGGCGCCCGTCTGAGCTCCGGATTCGTGCGCGACAGCTGCGGCTGTTGCTTGGTTGCTGGTCGTTCAGTTAGTTAACCAACTACCTTGCTGCTGGCTGGCTGGTGGTTGAGGCTCGCTGTGCGGCATCGCGGTCCCGTACTGTCCCGTACCGTACTGCATGCCGCCCCCGTATGCGCGTATTTACACGCCGCCCAGCCCTGCATACCGTACCATACCGCCGTCGCCGTCGCACCCGTACCCGCCATACGAAACGAAACGGAACGAAACGAAACCACCAGTGACATCGCCGCCGCCTGCGATCGATCGCTGCGTCGCCCGCATTTCATCATCACCACCGCCCACCCGCCCGCCCGCCCTGCGCTCTCATGGCCCGTCGTCGCGCCCTCTGCCGTCTCCTCGCGGGTCGAACAGGCTCCTCGCTCGATGCGTGCTTCGTCCTGCGCTAGGACCCGTCCGCGCCCTGCCCCCACCATGCCCGCCGCCGTCCTCCCCCGCGAGACCCCTCGCATCACCAAGTTCACCAACTGCCGCCTCCCCATCGCTGGCAAGCTCGTCGAGCAGGACCTCTGGATCGACTCGGTGTCGGGCACGATCCTCCAGGACCAGCGCGCCTTCTACGACGACCGCGTCTGCCCCGACCAGGTCCTCGATCTGGGCGGCCGCATCCTGGCGCCCGGCTTCATCGAGGTGCAAATCAATGGCGCCGCGGGCTTCGACTTCTCCGTGCCACAGCCCACGAAGGAAGACTATGACGCGGGCTTGAGGGATGTCAATCGCGCCCTCGTGCAGATGGGCATCACCTCGTACCTGCCCACCGTCACAAGTCAGAGGAAAGAGGTCTATGCGAAGGTGAGCCTGCAACAACACCTATCACGCTGCGAGTCCTCCTAGCTTTTCAAAGCGGTGCATGCTCATCGTGCCTCCCAGGTGCTTCCGTCTCTCGCTCCCTCCGGCCTCCTGCGCTGCGCTGAAGACGGCGCGGAATCGCTTGGCGCCCACATCGAAGGCCCATTCCTCAGCCCGGGCAAGAATGGGATCCACAGCCCCGACGTGCTGATCTCCGCCGACCACGGCTTCCAGGACCTGATCAACTGCTATGGCGCGGCGAACATCTGCGCCGACGAGACCTCCCCGAACCCGCTGCCCGTCAAGCTGATCACGGCCGCGCCGGAAGTGGGCGTGATGCTGTCGCTCATCCCGCAGCTCAGGGCGCAAGGCATCGTGTTCTCCATCGGCCACTCGGATGCGAGCTACGAGCAGGCGCTCGCGGCCGTGGACGCCGGCGCCAACATGATCACGCACCTCTTCAACGCCATGCGGCCCTTCTACCACCGCAACCCGGGCATCTTCGGCCTGCTGGGCCAGGGCGAGACGCCGCACCGGCCGTTCTACGGGCTCATCGCCGACGGCTTCCACCTGCACCCGACCACCATCCAGATCGCGTACCACGCGCACCCGCACGGCGCCATCCTCGTCACCGACGCCATGAAGCTCTGCGGCATGCCCGACGGCGTGTACGACTGGACCAACGGCGACCGCATCGTCAAGCGCGGCGCGCGCCTGACGCTGGCCGGCTCCGACCGCCTGGCCGGCAGCTCCGCCACGCTGATCGAGTGCGTGAATAATTTCCGCCGCTGGGCCGGCGCCCGAACCGTCGATGCCCTGGCCGCCGTCACCGAGACGCCCGCGAGGATGCTGGGCGTGTTGGGCCGTAAGGGCACCCTGGCCCATGGCGCCGATGCGGATCTGGTCGTGCTGGGTGAGACGGCGGCGGCCGAGGACGCCGCGGGGCTGGGCACGTTGACCGTCGACCAGGTGTGGAAATTCGGGGTGCGCGTTTTCGATCGCGAGATGGAGGAATAATAGATGAACCCGACAGGTACCTAGATAGGATAGAACCGGGTGCGTTGAATAGAATGACGAATTGGTGATAGATGACTCGTTTCACAAAACGACTGGGATGTAGATTGTTGCCTTTCCTATACCCTTAATGTATTACATATATATATATCATTATTTATTGTGCATATAGCATGGTATAGATCTATTATACCTTTTATATCTCTCGGATCTAATTCTTTGAACCTTCAAGCATGGTCACGCACTGCCAACTCTATTTTGACCTGGTTTAGGGTGCCGTTATAGTATAACTATGAAGTACTTCACTCAATTTTGCCCGTTATTGGCCCACATCCACGGGCCATATCGATAAATTAAGAGCAGGCATCTACTACAATCGAGGCAATCCAATAATATTCTGCTTTCGGCTTTTCCTTGGACAAAATGACAAGTCACCCCGCACTCCTGCTAGCGAGGAGAAGCATGCCTGATTCATCTGACGTTCACTCGGCCGGCAATTTGGAGCATTATTAGTTGCCTAACTTATAGTTCAATATGCCAAAACACCCGGCCCCGGAAGATGGTCAGATCTGACATGGGGAGCGAGTCATTAAACAAATGTTGTTCTAGAACCCTACGCAGGCGGTTCTAGAACTACGAAATATTGGGTGCATAGTGTGTATCAGCGGGAGGACCGTTGGCTAGTCGAATAGGGCCCGTCGGGCTTTGATTGCTTTCAGTTCCACTAGGCGAGGCTTCCAGCTGCTCTGCCTTCGAAGGGCTTTTTGCAAGGTACAAGAGCTGACATTGAGCGTTTCACACGAAAGAAGAGCTGCAGTCTTGTCTGGCTTCTTGAGATGTAAGTAAACCGTAGTTACTGTCTTGGCTGGCAGGGGGGGCGGAAGGGGGCCCAGAAGAAAGGCTGTAAATAAAATAATATAATCAACTAAACTACTCCAACCGTGCGCCTCAAACGGAATCCTGAAAACTAGTTTAACTATCTTATTTCTCGCTCCATGGAACGCAAAATTTGATCCGTTTCAAAAAAGACCTGGCGAGTCTGCCGCGAGTTGCGCGGAGACGGGGGCCTCCGAATATCTTGCCCATCCCCCTCCCCTGGATTTGTTTCTCGTTCCGAAGCCGATGATTGCGAACAGAACGGTGAGATCGAAAAGGCATAGCTGGGCCGACGTGCTCGACTTGGCTGTGTCAAATTTGAAGTTTTGCTGGAGAGGGAGAGATTGTGGCGGAAGGCAAGGAAGATGGAGTCTTTTTATTTACCGCCGAAAAATATCCGAGAGAAAAGAAGGTGGCAGTATCATCAGGGCAGCTTGGAAAATGGCCCTTACACATTGAAGAATGATTACAAAGGTATCTCTACTTAGGGTGACGTCTTTACTGTGGACGTAATGTAAAGTATAATCTGAAGCTTTCAGATGTGACTGGATTCCTTGATTGATGGCGAGCAGGTTTTGTCTACCCATCATGACTCCTGAACTGCATTTTGTTCCCTTCTGGGAGCAACGACCTTCTATTGAGAACGAAATATTTGCTATGACGTTCTCCGTATTCTATGAGATATCCACCGGCCAGATACCATATCACAACACGACAATGGCCGAATGTGAGGAGCTGTATCTGGCAGGTCACTTTCCTAATATCAGCTGGGTACTCCTAGGACTAATGATCTGGAAGTGCTGGAACATACGGCATGCATTCATCTGAGCCTCTCAGGCAGCCTTGACCGTTGTTTCAAAAGGAGTGCTTTCAACGCTCCTTTCGCCTGGGCTGCACAGGGAGCTCCGCCGGTCCCCGAGCAGTTATACCTAGCTCACACTTTTGATAACCCAGCGCCTTATGAGCAATGGCGTAGAGACATTACTCATCTACCTGTTTAATTCATAGCATAAGTCATTCATTGTATTTCTGTCTTTTAGGTATCAGATCTGGCGCTTCGTGAAAGGCTGACGTCAAAAGGGACTATTTACAGACGGAAAACGAGCCACGCGCAGGCACTCGGCTCAAGACTCGAGAAGGCATAACGTTAAGGTATCAGAACACATCCAAACCCAAGCACCCTTTGCTACTGCAGCTGCAAAACAATTGAATAATTCCGCCCATGTACACGCTTGTACGCATCTGGAGTCTTCTCTTTTTTTCCCTTCTTCTTTCGTTCTGTTGCCCCGTCTACAGTCTGGCGGCGAACCCTGTCCACCCAGCCTCACCTGCGATCAACTCCGCAGCCCGCTCCCCGACCGCCAGCACGGTCAACATGGGGTTGATCGTGGTCATCTCCGGAAACACGCCGGCGTCCGCAATCCGCACGTTCTTGAGTCCGCGGATCTTCAACTGCGGGTCGACAACCGCCATGGGGTCGCGTGCCACGTCGCCCATCTTCGTGGTGCCTGCCGGATGATACACGGTGTGTGCAACACGGCGGCCGTACTCGCTAAGCTCCTCGTCAGTGTTGACCTTTGGTCCTGGTGCGACTTCACGCTTGATCCATTGCTTGAAGGGACTTTGCTCCGCGATCTTGCGGGCGACTTTGAGGCCGTGCACGATGGTCGCCGCGTCGTAGCCCTCTGGGTCGGTGAAGTAGCGGAAATCCAAGGCCGGTTTGACGTTGGGATCTGAGGATGTGAGGTAGAGGCGGCCGCGGGAGCGAGGGCGGGGGATGTTGGGTGTCATGCAGAAGGCGTTAATGGGTGTGTCGTATCCAAGACGGCTGGTATTGAGACAGAAGGGAATCTGGTAGCAATGCATCATCACATCTGCAGCATTTCCGTCGGAGCCAGCGGCGTTAGAGGCCTCTCGGCGCAGGAAGATGCCTGCGTCTGAGTCCATGGTGGTCTGGTTTGGCGGGACGGGCTGGTTGAGTTCCCAGATGATGATGGATTCGGGGTGGTCTAGCAGATTCTCTCCAACGCCGGGGAGGTCCTTAACAACAGGGATGGACAAGGAAGAAAGCTGCTCGCGGGGGCCGAGGCCGGAAAGGAGAAGAAGGCGGGGAGTATCAACGGCGCCAGCGCAGAGAATCGTCTCTTTCTTGGGGTTGAGCGTCAGCTTCTGGCCAGATTGCAAAGTGACGTTCACTCCAGTCACAGTGTCTCCAGAGACGTTGACTCGAGAGACCCATGCGTTGGTCAACACAGTCAGGTTCGGCTTATACTCTTCTCCGCGCAGCATGGGGTGAATATATGCTACACTAGCACTGCTGCGGCGGCCATCATCGGGATTGTATGACACGGAGAAGAAACCAACGCCTTCGGTCAATTTTCCCGCGGAACGAATCTCCTTGTTGAAATCGGGGATAACGGGAATATCGAGGGCACTTGAGCATGCGTTTACCCAGTCCTTGCAGAGCTGGTTTCGATGTCGCTCATGGACTGGCTGGACGGTGTTGCGTAGGTTGTCCAGGACGCGGGTGAAGGTATCAAACGACCAGCCCTGGCAGCCCTGGGCCTCCCAGCGTTTGCAGTCATACTCGAATGGGCGGAACGAGATCAAGGTATTATGGCTTGAGCAACCACCGAGCACCTTGGCACGAGAGTGTCGGATATGGCTGTTACCTACAGAGAAGAAACTGATGTGAGTCCTTACTTTCATTCCGATTTCTGCTGCGTTGGGTACTCGATTTCACAGGCTAGGCTGATTGGGATTCCAGGAAATGATAGTTTATACTTAACCTTCCAATCAAGTCTTGTCGCATTTGGGGAGAGTAGGGTAGGGCAATGGATTAGCAGTCTTGATGGACGGCAGGGGAAAACGTACCCATTGGTTGCTCAGTGGTCGGATAATCATAGTCCAGCTCACCTCCCAGCAGGCTGAGCCAGTCCTTGAGCAGCAGAACGCGATCATCCATGAAGTCGCTTGGGCCGGCTTCAATCAGCAGGATCTTCATGCGGGGCAGATACTCTGCCAGCCGGCTAGCAATGACACAGCCGGCAGTTCCACCACCGACGATAACATAGTCAAAACTGTTCGCATCGTTGGCAGCGAGCTGCGCAGTTGTTTTTGCCGCCATGGTGATCTCAAGAAGTCTTTCGAGGTGTTGAACGAAAGGGGAAAGTTGTCAAGTGCGGCCTTGTTGGAGGTCTCGGCACACCAAGCGAAAGAATGAGTGAGTCTTGGGGATATTCGGGCAGAGTGCTTGATAAAAGAAAGAATGCGGTGGCCGGGCAACAGGCCAAACCGGGTGAATTTTGATATTCTTCTTTTTTCTTTGTTCCTGGCGGGAAACGGCAGGAACCAGGCCTCAGCCGGGAATCTTCGTTTTATATCCGCGAACAGCTCAGGCCATTTCCCTCCGCAGCGGCAACGAAAACTTCCTCCCTACCGCGCCGGCCAATCGTCACAGCTGCTTGCGGTGGCCAAATGGAGCCGCCCCAAGCCACCGAGCCCCCAAGGATGCGCGCTAGGCCGTAAGCAGTTAAGAATCCCCAGTTTTCAGCCGGCGCCCAACAAGCGGTGCGCGCTTCGTCTTCCGAGCAAACTCCGTGATTGGCTGCTCCGCACAGGCCAGTTGCACCGGCTGTTTGACGTCGGCGCGGTCGCGGTACTGCGTACGCCGCGCTCGTCCAGGCCACGAGGTCGCCTGCTACGCTCCGTCGCTGTTCGCCGCAAGATGGCCGCGCGGACGCCAGCGAGGCGTAGTCGGTGAGCGCGCCCGGCTTCCCACGAATCAGGGCGTCGGGAATGCGCTAGGCCAAGCACGCCCCACAGCGCCCCCACCCGCCCCGCTGATTATGTCATAGCACGTGAGATAGACTTTTCGCCAAGCGGAAGCGAACAAACTCCCGAGGAAGCGCGCGATATGGCGGCCAGTTGCGCAACAAAGAGCCAAAAGACCGCAGTGCTCGCCAGCAAGACCAAGATGCGTGAAGCATTCCCCGCCGTCCACAGCCCCTACTATGAGGGCGCAGTCCAGGAGACGTCCTCGCGCGTGTCATTTGACACGATAGACCCGTCGAATGGCTCGGTTCTCGCGTCCATCGAGGTTGCCTCCAGCCACGATTTGGAAGCAGCCGTAGAATCCGCTCGCAGAGCGTTTCCCGTCTGGTCAAAGACCCCTCCGTCTGCTCGTGCCAAGGTGCTTCTGAAAGCTGCCGAAATATTACGGCGACGCAACGATGAGATTGCCCGCATGGAAACTCTCGACACTGGCAAGCCATTTTCGGAGACCAGTACTGTGGACGTTGTCACCGGAGCAGATGTGCTAGAATACTATGCAGGGTTGATTAGCGGAGGTGGTTTGAACGGTGAGACAATACCGCTCAGACAGGATGCATGGGTATACACGAAGAAAGAGCCCCTGGGTGTCTGTGTTGGCATTGGAGCATGGAATTATCCCATTCAAATGTGAGTTGTTGGCCTTGGTGTTGAGTCTGGTACGCAGCTGAGTTCGACAAACCCTGTAGTGCACTTTGGAAATCGGCCCCTTGTCTGGCGGCAGGAAACACCATGGTTTATAAACCTAGCGAATTCACACCGCTTCATGGGATTGTCCTCGCGCAAATATACACGGAAGCCGGCTTACCGCCAGGCGTGTTCAATGTCGTCCATGGTGCTGGCGATGTGGGTGCAGCTCTGGTGAACCACCCCGCCATTGCCAAGGTATCGTTTACAGGCCAGGTTGCGACTGGGCAAAAGGTTGCCAGAGCTGCAGGTGGAGGAATGAAATATGCCACTATGGAACTAGGTGGGAAGAGTCCCTTAATCATTCTTCCCGACGCGAATTTAGAAGACGCCGTCGACGGTGCCATGCTTGCCAATTTCTTTAGTACAGGGCAAGTTTGTACCAATGGAACCAGGGTCTTCGTACCAGCGGCCCTGAAAACAGACTTCGAAACACTGCTTCTTAAGAAGATGGAGTACATTCGTCCCGGTCCAACAATGGATCCTAACATCAATTTTGGCCCGCTGTCTTCAAGTGCGCATCATAGGAAAGTGCTTCAATATATTCAGCATGGCATTGAGCAGGACAACGCCACTTTACTCTGTGGAGGCCTCAACCCGCCAGCTAATCTTGACCCGTCGCTCCAAAAGGGCTTCTGGGTCTCTCCCACCGTCTTTACCAACTGCACTGATTCTATGAAGATTGTGAAGGAAGAAATCTTCGGCCCCGTCATGTCTATTCTCTCCTACGATACCGTTGACGAAGTGGTCGCCCGTGCAAATAGCACTGTGCTGGGACTGGCTGCAGGGGTATTCACACGAGACATCAACCTGGCGCATTCGATCATCGACCGATTGGATGCTGGGATTACGTGGATCAATTCCTGGGGAGAGTCTCCGGCTGAGATGCCTGTGGGCGGGTGGAAGATGAGCGGCATGGGCGTTGAGAATGGTCGGAGAGGGATTGAGGCATGGGTAAGAAATAAGAGCACGCTGGTCGATATGAGTGGAAAGGTGGCTACAGTATTTACGAAGTTATGATTATGCATCATGATCTGGAACAAAAGTCTTGCTGTTTCACTTTTTAAATAACTTATGTTAGGCCTAAGGGCAGAATAACAGTGTGCTATATTTATCATGAGATCTGTTTTCGCCTAGGAGATTTTGGAATCAGGATCAGGGGGTTCGAAATTGTCTTTCAAAGAACTCAACGTATACACGCCCGCCGGGGTGTAAAAGCAGAAACTTGTTCCTGATAAGTGTCCAATATTAATCAGTCAAGCAAACCCTAAGTCAAACAGCACAAATAATGCAAACAACATTACCGAGTACCGTTAGTTGAAATGTCTCCTCAGATGCGAATAAAATGATACATCTATCCTTACCCATGCATTTTATCTATCAATTTGGTGATCTTAATGCTACAGAAGACCACATTAACCAATCAAAATCACCTAGAGAGCTATATACACCATACTAGGATTAGACCAACGAGGGTTAGAAACCAACAATTAGGTTTCTTAGGAGCAACTTGTAGAGTACAGAGTACCCTACCTAACATTCAAACACAGGGACCTAATGGTATTAGTACTTGAAACTGTCTGAATTCTTGTGTCTTGTGGCTTGTTATTAGGGTGTTTTAGGGGCTGACAGTATTTTAAAAAGCAGAAAACTTGGATGTGCACAATCAAACCAAGATACTAATCGCACCCGGAATTGTTACCACTTCTGACCATCCTCACAACCTTTCTGTTTTTCCTTTTCCTTTTTGTTCCCCACTGATACCCCATTCTTATTTTTCGGTCTGGAGGTCATTCTGGATGCCATTCGGTCAAAAAAAACTTCGCTACTCAGCAACATCCCATTAAGGCCTGCAACTGCAGAATCTGCCATTCGAGATGACATGCTATCAGGCGTGAGTTCGTCCGGGTCCTGGGGGATAGGACGACAAAACCCGGTGTCGATTTTTAGGTCCAGGTTAGGGCGGCCGGGGGTACTGAAACCAGAGCTAGGCGTGATGGGTCTGTAGTATGGTTTGCTGCGGTGAACAAGGGGGGGACCTTGAGTGCGCGCATCGGTACCAGATTTCTCAATTGTTTCAAAATACTACAAGAAAAAGCACGTTTAGAGTGCAAAGTGGCTTGTGGAAGATGTGTCAGGAGTAGGGATTCTCTTACTTTTACGGTCTTGACTCTGAGTTCCAAAGTTGCGTCCTCATCCACAACAATCAAAGGATGTTGGTGAAGTTGCAGAGCAGACATTGTCCACATATGATTGACAGGCCCCTCTAAGCTCTTCTGTAACGCCTTTGCCTTGTGGACTCCAGTCACAACGATGACAACCTCATGGGCATCCATGATGGTTTTGATACCCACAGTTAGAGCTGTGGGTGGAACCTTGGCGATGTCGTTATCGAAAAACCGTGAGTTGGCGAGAAGAGTGTCATAGGCTAAAGATTTTACCCGAGTTCGGGAGTTCAAGCTGGATCCAGGTTCGTTGAAGGCAATGTGGCCGTCTGGCCCAACCCCGCCTAAGAACAAATCGATACCCCCAACGGCAGCAATCTTCTCTTCGTATTTAGCACACTCCTCAGCGAGATCAGCTGCATTTCCATTTGGAATGTTGATATTGCATGGCTGGATATCAACGTGTGAAAAGAAATGCTTATACATAAAGCTGTGGTAGCTCTGTGGATGATCTCGAGGGAGACCAACGTACTCGTCCTACACAAAGCCATATTTAGTTCCTTTTAACGCCTTGATGCTTGTTCAAAAGGCAGGAATATGGGGAAGCTTACCATGTTGAACGTGACGACATACTTGAAGGAAATGTCTCCAGCTTTGTATCGCTGGACGAGGATCTTATAGATTATCTCTGGGCTGCTACCGGTTGGGAGCCCTAATACGAACGGCTTATTCGCCGATGGTGCAAACGCCTTGATCCGGCCTATGCGGCAGTAAATATCAAAATACTGAAGCCGAAAAACGTGTATTCATCCTCGAGCTGCCTCATCGAAAGTATGGAGTAGGATGGAAGCACAGGGACTATGTCAATTGGAACAGAGAGTCAACCTACTGACGATATAGTCGGCGATATACTCAGACACCGTCTGAGGGTCCTTTCTGATGATGACTCTCCTTCATGCCACAGTCGTTTTATTAGCAGTGGGGCGACAGCTGATAACGGTGATGGGGCACTTACATTTTCTTAGGCAGGACGATGTTTTCAGCTTAAAATAAGAATAATACAAACCAGGCTCACGGAGAGCTAGCGATACTGCCTAGTATAGCACTGAAGAAGCACCGAATTGGCCAGGGAAGACGAAACTCAAGTAGGGCGTAGGGCACTGAAGAATGAGGAAGAAGGAATAGGAGTGACCACACTGGACGCTTTGCTGGTTATGCTGGTCTGTTGAACTCAACTCCCAAAGTTTCCAGGCCTCGACTCTCATACAAAGAGTGTTCGCACGGCCTCCGGAAGCACTGGGACAGACACTTGGCGTTTCCTTTCAGCTGGCTCGGACAGCCGTCCCATGGGTCACGTCATCGGTGTGCTGCTCATAGAGCTTCCCAGATTCTTGCGTGCGATTGGAGGGAACAAGGTTTGCGGTTACATGCTGGAGGGCCGGCGAGGGTACATCATGGCATCCTGCGCATTAAAACCGCTGAAGCGTTCAGTTGTCGTTGATAATAATAATGGCCGGGCGTATGCTTGAGGTATAGGCCACCAGGTAGCACTCGCCTCCCTCGACGCGCCCGGCCCTATCGGAAGGTGGCGGCGCACCAGGGCGCGATGGCCGGGTGCCAGATTCCAGATTCCACGGACACAGGATATTTCTCTCGGTCGGCGCAAACAGATCCATAGAGCAACGACCGATTCACCACATGACTCCCCTTCCTTGCTGTCGGACAGTGCTATCCCGGGCAAAAGGACCCTGATTGACAGGCTGATTTCAGCTCACATTGCCTGTTGATGTGGCAAACGTACGCCCTTTCCAACACCTGGAGAACCAGTGGTTTGCTGGTGAATCCCTCCGTTTCTTCCGTCGCGAAGCGACTGTTGCTGTCGATGGTTTCTTTTTGGCGGCGTGATGTTGCTTGAAGCCGTTCGAAATGACAATACCGCCCGTACCGCCGTAATTTACGTCGGGTATTGATACACAGAAGTGATGTAACGCCGTGTATCGCGTACGATACTGAAACGCTCACAGGATGGAGGGTGATATACGGAGCATTAAGGGCCATCGGAGGGTAACACCCCTATTCTCCCCAGGTGTACTCCGTATGCAACGTGGCATCTTATATCTGGTTGTTTGGAGAAGGATGATGGGTGAAATCCTTGGGCGTTTCCAACCGCATTGAAATGGGTCGGTTTGGTTGCAACGTCCGGCTCTCGGTGCAGCATGCCATGCAACGTCTTCTTATCGGATGAGACGGCGGCATCAGTAGAAATGGGAGTTGGGGGAAAGCTAGGCCAAGACCAAATCAAATATATTTACATATGTATGCATGTACCTCCGAGCATCTCTAGAGCTCAAGAGTCTCCCCGAAAGGGTCGCCTCTTGGACTCGGACTAGAAGGCTAGTCAGTAGGCTCAAAGGATGTCACAAAGCGAAGAAAATCCGGTGGCTTCGTGAAGATGCAAAACGGCCGTTCACCCGACTTCGAACTCTCCATGAGTGCTTGGCCTTGCCTACCAATCTCAACCTCTACCTCTACGATGAAAATCTTTCTCGCAATTTCAGTACAAAGGAAACGGGGTTATTCTTTGGATGTTGAGGTGTATTCTGAGTGTTTCTTTCGCAGTTGTTGGATGAATACCTCAAAGGATCTGCTAGAATGGCTAAGTTAGTCCTATCTCCGCCAGATCCACTCGGAGTGATGGTGCGACGAGCAGCCAGTGCCTGAGAAAGGCTGGTATAGGAAACCGTTGCACCCCAGAGATGCTACATGATTGCTGGGGTTGTTAGCCAACAGATTGTACCGTAACAAAAGAATCATACTCAACGGGATGTCTAGGCTTTCCGATCGACAAACGGCACGCAAGTCTCTGCAACCGTTTGCTTGAACTAGAATGATGTGTACAGTTAGGCCAAAGGAGTCTGAGCGCTGGTGGAAACGGCAGTGATATCCACATAGCCTACGGCAAAAATCCTTAGCTAGCAAGGTATCGCACGAGCTGTCAAGTCGGCGGTGACGTGGTATCAAGAGGTCATTTATTTTGGGAGCGGCAGTAGAGCTCCATTTCCCATCTGATTAATCTTCCTGGAGGTCTCTTGGTCGAAACCATGCATTAGTTGATATACCACAGGAAATTCCAGGGGACAGAAAAGTAAAACTTTACTAAGTGAGAAGTGAAGAACTGCCTGTACGGACAAGCGCAAGACTCACTGGCTCACTGATAGTGAAATGAAACGGAGCTTCAGAATCCTAGGTAAAAAGTATCAATCCCAAATCACTGATTGGAAATAAACCAAGGGCTGGGCGTGTCAGATGATTGAATATCAACCATTTGGCATGTTTCCGGCCGTACTCTTGAATTTATACCACTTGTCTATCCCAGGGACTGAGAGTAGCACTATCACACACATATACAACGGTATACCAGCGAAGTTTCCCCCCAAAAAATCCAAGATATCATAACGATGGAGAATGGAAAGATAAATCATCCAATTCAAGATGTCAAATTATGCTACCTTCTCTCGAGAAGGTAGTAAAGGGCAGCCCGAGTCGTTTACCGCCAATATTCGACACACATGGTGATGGGAACTGAAAGGGAGGACCTGTGATAGGGCTGTCGCGGTAAGAACCCCGTCACGATCCATGGAAATGGCCCCATGTCTTTTGTGCTGACAACAGTTTGTGATAGAGTATGCTTTCATACGAGAACGACATTCGGTGGGACTACGGCAGAGTTGATGAGTCGCGTCCCCGATATTGCATTAAGGTATCATGCTGGTCTGCCTACGTCACACCTATAATGCGGCAGCTGTACCATAACAGCTGCAGAGATAATACACAAAAATGATGGTGGTGGCCAGGTGGTCTTCATACATAGTCCCGTCAAAAAATCGATGATTTTTTAACTAGGAAAACAGGCTGAAGAGATTGGCTGATAGACGTTCTGTCCACGTTGAAAATCCAGAGACATAGAGGCACCGAAACTGAAGCACCGCAGCCTCGTATAGTAAGGCAGCTAGCATCTTGCAACGAGGCACCGGCACTCTCGAACGGCTGCGAGGCAGCTGGTAGTCGCGTCTTCAAACCCGTCGAAACCGTGGACGCGCACGTGTGTTATGTCAGCTGCCGAGATAGCGCTCCTTCGAAGCTCGTCCGCCAATCGCACCGCCGAACCGCTGCCGGGCCGCACGGCGCTAACTAGCGGTGAAGCAACGACAGCAACGAACCTCCTGCTAAAAAGCGCAGAATTAGTCGCAGCGGAGAACTGGCGAAAACTCGCGGCTGCACGGCTGCATGGAGCATACACACGGCGCCAGACCCCTTCTTGCATACTGGCCAGCGCTTGATTGCCCTGGATAGCTTCTGGAAAAATCTGCTTGCAGCTGGCCGTGCCACCCCACGCGACCTATACGGCGTACAAGCAGACGCGATCCTTCACCCTGTGCCGCCGTGCTTATTGTTAAACCTCGCGCTCTGCACAGCCGACAGTGGCAGATTAAGCTCCATCTTGTCGTGCGCGTATCTTCGGCTCTCTTGGAAATAGCTATCCTGCGTACGCAAAGCAGCCTCAACCGCATCACTGCTCCGTTTGCTGGCAGCTCTGGCTTGGACTGCGCTAGGCTCAACGGGGCGATTCCCGTGGCCAGGCGTGTCTTCTTGCCGCTGCTGAATAGGAACCGCCATTATTCTGTGGGGAAAAGGGCGCTGCAGCTCCCGCTGCCAACATGGGGGCCAAAGAAAAAGAACTCCCGGCCGAATGGGAGGGCAACATTGACAGGTAACGCTCGCCAGACGTCCAGTGCCCGTACAGTGTTTTTCCCATCGAAAACTTCTTGTGGCTTTGCGAAACCATTTTTGGTTAAGCTGGGATGCATACCCAGAGCCCAAATTTCCACTTTTATGACATTTGAGCTTTATACATAAACGCATTATAGCACATACCAGTTCATTTCCCTTGCATAAAAAGAGTTTCAGGCTAATGAACGATTGATATGTGGCTAATGATTCTGATAATAGGCAGATGGGGCCGCTCTTCGTCATGGGATTTGACGGAACCAGAGTCGACCCCCAGATCCGGTCACTGATTGAAGACTACCATCTCGGGTCGATCATTTTGACCGCCAAGAACCTGAAATGTATAGTCAACCCATGTTCATTGTTTCATTCTGCTCTTGTTCTATTTCCTTGTTATGTATCTACCCCCTTCTACATGTTTTAGCTCCTTGTCCTATATCACTGGAAAAGACCAGGGCTCTTGCCTATTGACAGACTATACGCATTAATCTTCTACTGGACACAGATAACTGACGATCTTGTAGCTGCCGAAGAGACCACTAAACTAATACTGGAATTGCAAACCATTGCAAAAGATGCTGGTCACTCTGCTCCCCTCTTGATCGGCCTGGATCAGGAAAATGGCGGCGTCAATAGCCTTTTCGATGAAACACATATTCGCCAGTTCCCAAGCGCGATGGGCATCGCCGCCACAGGGTCCAAGTCCCTAGCAAGGGAAGTTGCAAAAGCAACAGCGCAAGAGCTGAGTGCTGTCGGGGTCAACTGGATTCTTGGCCCCGTCTTAGATGTCCTCAATAACGCAAAGACTCAGCCATTAGGCTCCCGCAGCATTGGAGACGAAGCCCAAGAAGTCTCAGCGTACGGATCCGAGTTCATCAAAGGGTATCATGAAGCAGGGTTAGCGACGTGCGGAAAGCACTTCCCATCTTACGGAAATCTAGAGGTGCTTGCGAATCAAACTGACGTGCCAGTTATCACGGATTCATTGGAGCAGCTCAGTGCGAGTGCTCTAGTTCCATTCCGGAATGCCATTGAGCAAGGGTTGGACTCTATGATGGTTGGTGGTTGTGCGATGTCGTCAGCAGGTGTGAACATCATGCATGCCTGTCTATCTGAAAAGGTGGTCGACGACTTACTGCGGAAAGACTTGAAATTTGACGGGGTCGTTGTCTCTGATTGCTTAGAGATGGAAGCGCTGAGCTACAATATTGGAGTGGGAGGCGGGACTGTGATGGCGGTGAAAGCTGGCTGCGATCTAATACTTCTTTGCCGGTCGTACCCAGTGCAACTGGAGGCAATCGATGGCTTAAAATTAGGGGTTCAAAACGGCATCATTAGTGAGGAACGCATACGTCAGTCCCTGCAGAGAGTCCTTGATATGAAGCACCAGTGCACGTCGTGGGAAAAGGCGTTGAACCCTCCGGGCATCAGCCTGCTCTCCAAAATGCAGCCATCGCATATTAGCCTATCAACCAAGGCATACAACAACTCTATCACCGTTGTAAGGGACAGAAGCGGCATTTTACCACTCACGAATACCATTGAGCCAGACGAGGAGCTGCTCCTTCTCACACCCTTGGTGAAGCCACTTGCCGCTTCTGCTGTATCCCATGAAAATAGCGAACCTACGGTTCTTTCCACAGACCCGGTCGCTTGGGAGCGAAATGCGTCCTTGCTGAGCGGGGAGAAGGTTTTTCGCGAATTCGGGCGCTCCCTGGCGCGACAAAAACGAGGGCGGGTTCTTCATACATCGTATACGACGAACGGCGTGCGGCCAATCCATGAAAGCCTCATCAAGCGAGCTGGCGGAGTCATCATCGTCACTGCGGACTCTAACCGGAACCTTTATCAGTATGGCTTCACAAAACATGTGTCGATGATTTTCAACGCGCAGTTTACCGCCAACGGCGAAACCAGACCCATGCCGCTAGTTGTGGTAGCCGTCAGCTCACCGTACGATTTTGCCTCGGATCAATCCATCGGGACGTATGTCTGCACGTACGATTTCACGGAAGCGGCACTGCAAGCGTTGGTCAAAGTCTTGTTTGGCGATTTGAAGCCCACAGGCACGCTTCCGGGTACCTTGAGTCACAGTCAGAAGCCCGATCAGTCCCGGCCGCACTGGCTTGTAGAGGGCTGGAATGAAGAGCGGGACGCAAAGCCGCTGGATGAGCTTCTATGCAGCGTTCGGGACGAAAGCCCACGGCCGGAACTTGCGAACGTTACATCCAATACGTTCCTATTACAAAGCTCGGATGTTGAAGAAGCCCATTTTGTAGTCAGAAACAGCAGTACGCACGCGCTGTACGGGTTCTGCTCGACCTACTTCTTCAAATCCACGGGGACGGCAGTAATTGGGGCAATTCTAGTCGACCCTGCTAAACGGAGGCTGTCGATTGGAAACTCGCTCCACAACCGAGCGGTTCGATCTCTCATGCAGCGGCAAGGCGCGAAAAGGTTTCAGTTGGGCTCGCGTTTGCCGGGGGTTTACCTGGGAATACCGACGGGAAACGCGGTGGAGAGGAAATGGCTGCGGCGATGGTTTGCCTCGCTCGGGTGGAATACGTCTCTGTCCCGGCCGGTGTGCACGATGATCATCCGTAATCTGGAAAAGTGGACTCCGCCGGAGGGCCTGACGGAAAGCCTGCGGATCGCAGAGGTCAACTACGAGTTGGTCCACGGACGCGACTATGCGGACTCGACGCTGGACCACGTCAAGACCAATTCACGACAAGGGGTGTTGGACATCTACAGGATGGCGCTAAGTGGGCCGACGACGTGCGGGATCATTCGCGCCAAACGGGACGAGGACGGCGCGATTCTGGGAAGCGTGGTGGTGTACAATGGCGAGTCGACGCTGGCGGATTTCGTTCCTGCAGTCAAGGAGACACGGGTGGTGGCTGGGGGCATTTCGTCGGTAGTGATCTCCCCCTTCGCGGGTGAATACTCGACTTTAGTGCAGGGCCTGATCCTGCTGGGAATTAAGCAAATACGGAGCCAAGGAGCCAGTGCGGCAGTTTTAGATTGTGTAAGTGGTTGGATTCCATCTTTTTTGTCTCTTCTTTCCCCTCCCTCCCTCCCTTGCCCTTCTCTACCCTGGGGTGGACCGTGGAGGCTGTGATTGGGCGCTCGGCCGGAAAACACACTGGCCCCACGGGTCCAGGGCCGGGTAAATCTGGGGAACATGCGCTTTTTTGCTGGCAAATTCATAAATCTTGGATTATTATTAAAATCTTTGGTTGCTTTATTGGAGGGGGCCGCCCGCTAACGGCAATTTTTTGGGGCGGGCAGATGGACGTCGAGGACGGCAATTTCAACAATCTCTCGGCGATGGGATTCTCGGTGCTCCACACTTTCGACGAGGTGACTTGCGCTGCAGCGACGTGGAACCTGCTGGCTTCGTCGTGAGATCTCCCCGTCTGGTTTTTTTCCGAGGGCGGACGGGCCCAAAACCACACGTGCTGATGGCGGGACGTTTTACGTCTACGAAGCGTGGAAAAAGATAAAAAAAAAAAAGAGAACTGGGGGCGCACGGAAGCGGTGTAAGGGTGGAATGATCGCAGGCTATTGGGGAAGCGGGGCTGGGGGAGTTACTAAGTATGCAGTTTGGTGATGTTTTTTTCTTCTTTTCTTTGAGGTGAATGACTTGCATATCCACCCTTCCCGTACATGCCGGTTGCACAAACCCTATAAAGATGGGCTTGGATCGCATTGGATTTCGGGATTCGGGACATTTTCAGGCGGTCTTTGTTCGGGCCAAGGTGGCTGAGACGAGTCAGCCTTGGGAGATGGGGGAAGGGGGGCCGGGGGGTAAAAAAGCACAGGGCGGGCGGCGGATTCCGAGAAAAGATTCGTTGAGAGCAAGCGAAAGAGAGAAAGGCGGATTTGTGAACGGGCTGCGTCGGGAAAGAAGAGTAATAATAATAAGGAAAAACAACACAAAATTATATCGCCTTTCCAGATCTCTCTCTCTCTCTCTCTCGTGTTTTTGAAGGCTCATCTGGGGCGATACGAATCGAATCGCCGAAGCCGAGATAGTTTAGACCACCACCCCTGCCCTGGGGGCTGGGCTGGGCTGGCATGGAAGTGATGCGATGCGATGCGTCTGCGTCTGCGTGTCTCTCGAGGATTTGTGTGTGTTGTGCTGGCATCGAGTGACTACTGGTGGGATTCGATGCACGGGGGGGGGGGGAGAGGATTCTGGTACATACACAAGCTACAAGCTACTGGGGGATCAGCCTTCGACGACGGTCGACTAACCGGGTGTGGGAAAAGAATACGGGAGGAGACCCCCAAAAAAAAATAAAAAAGAAGAAGAACAAGAAGGAAGAGGAGGATCATGGGAAACGCGGGGTACCTGGGGATGGGGATGGGGATGTCTTGCAGATGAGACCGGAGGGCGAAAAGTTATGAATCAATAGAGTTACGTTGGGGGCCCCTGCACGGAGCGGGAGGTTTTCCCAAGACGTTTGTTTGTTGTTGTGTTGTTTCGCAGAGACTTTCAGGCAGAGAGATGTGGTGCTGTGATGGATGACGATCCGGGTCAGGCACGTCGGTGGGCGGGGCGGCAAAAGACAGATAGATAGCTGGGGGGGGGGGGGGGTGACGATCTCGAGGGTGCGGGCACGGCAGGTTCGTGATCGAGATAGATTGGTCCAGCATCAGCAATAATAATCCTTTGACGCGAGGCATCGTGGGTTGACTGACTAGTTGGTGTTCTAGAAGATCGGAGTCGAAGATCGCGGCTTCACGTGGCCGAGAGTGTGGGGAGAGCTGGGGACAGGCCTTGGCTGACCAACCAACTAACCAACACGGCCGACTTGCTCGTTAGCCGTTTTGTGATGATTTTGGCTTTTTCTCTCTTTTAATTAAACGATGCTTTTTGATGCTTTTCTTTTGCTTCTAGAAGCACGACTGCGAGCTAACTAGCGTGGCGCCCAACCCGCTCGCGATGCACACCTGCCGCTCTGGAGAACAGCTGGCAACTCTACTTCCGTACTACTGCTCCGACTACGACTACTCGCTCTCGCATACACACTAAAAAAGGGCGTGCAGCAGCGGCCGGGATACATCCTTGCCGGCGCGCACAGGACGGGGGCAGGGAAGCATGATCATAATCATAATAATATTTGGGGGGTGGAAGAGAGATGAGCCGAGGAAGCAGCAGCAAGCCCAAAAAAAAAAAAAAACTCTAAGCCGAAAAAGGGAAAAGCAAAAAAGAAGAAATAAGAACACGAAGGAGAAATTGAATTTTGGATTTTGTTCGAAGCCGTTTGGCCTGTCTGCCCGCCCAACCCCCCAGCCCTACCGCTGCATAATCAGCAGCAAAAAAAAAAAAAAGAAAAGACGAGAGCGAGAGAATTCATCCGCGCGCCCACTACTACTAATGCAGGCCACACAACACGGGGGGGAGAGGAGCGTGATCATGCGGACTCTGCGGGGAGGGGAAGCGCGTCGTGCTTCATCGGTTGTGTGAAAGATAATGATAACAATACAAGTATTTTAATAACTACGGCCAAACGGCGAGGGCTGATTATTTAGTCTTATTATTACCATCATTCCCAAAATACGGGACGCCCCCTTCGCTCGCTCGGCCCAGGATGCCCCCTCCAGCCCGCTCGCTGACTTTGTATAGCTCGAATGACGATGATTACGACAGCCAGTCGGGATGGCGAGCGCGCGCGCGGATGCCGCCGGATACCGGAGGCGGCGCCGTGATTGGCCGGGAGTGTCGCGGGCGGGGCGTACGACGCGGCCGGACGAGAAGGGAAGGCATAGCGCCGTCATTATTCTTATTATGCTTGTCTGTCGGCTGGCCGGATTTGCGGGGAAAGCAGTTAACTAGTGAGCTAACGGTTTGGCCTGTTTGCGGCTGGCATGTGACGGGCACGCGTCCTTCACCCGGTGCGCGGGCCGACCACCGGCGAGAAGCATTGGTTGCTTCAGCAGGCCGCAGTGAAGCCGTCGGGCCACGCACACCCACGACACGACACGACAGCACAGCGACACGACGACACGACACGACACGACACGACGACAGCTCAAGACTGTGTGTGAGCTCGTTTATTTTTTCGGCGCGGTTCGTTCTGGAAGGAGTCTAAACGTCGCGCTAGAAGGTTCGCCGCGGATCACCATTGATTAACTAATTACTCCGTACTCCGTACTAGGTCCTCTTTCCAGACGCCGCCGTCTCTCTCTCGCGCAGCCTCGCTCGCTCTCCCCCTCCCGCTAACAAACTCTGCTCGCCCGCCAGTTGTCCAAAAAAAAAAAAAAAAGAGACGGCGGCTGCAGTGGCCGACGCGTGTTTTGAGCACATTTTTACTTTTTTGCTAGTCGACACGGAATTTCAAAGCCATCTATCTCATCTCAGCCAATCCCTAGTTTAATTGGACTCATTTACTCATTTGTTTTTTGGTAATAATATTGCTTTTACTTTTTCGCATTTCAACGGTCGCAGAAACTCGCGAGAAGTCAAAACCCGCCTGGCCGGGAGGGTTCCCCCTTTCTACTTCTCGTGGCCCAACAACAAACCCGCGCCAGAACCGGCCCCCAAACACGCCAATCGATTAATTGCGGAGGTCTGCTCCACTGCTCCTCGTCTGGCCAGCTGCACGACGACGACGACGGCCAGGGAAAGGGCCCTGACGCTTCGCGGGGCAAGGACCGGGGCTGTTATTATAAAAATCCGGGAAGCGAATATTATTATTATCGTCAGAGAGTGTAGCCAAGGAAATTAAAACAACCAAAAAAAAAAAAAAAAAGGCACGACAACTCACAAAAAAAGAAGAAACGGGGCGTTGCGATTACTAACGGCGCTGCGTTCTAGAAGGGAGGAGGGGATCCCCTCTCTCTCTCTCTCTCTCTGCCTGATCAGCCAACCCGTGCTGATCGCTGGGTGGCGGGCTAGCAGGGAGTCGGCCTGGGAACCGCAGCCCACCGGGGACCAGGGGAAGCAGCCAACCAGGCCGCCTGGGCCGCATCGCTCTGGCTAAACGATGTCGGAGTTTGGAACAGCATGGAAGGGCAGAGCAGTCAACTAACTAACTACTGACTAGTCAGGTGCGAAAAGAAAAAGCGAACCCGCTGAGTTCTAGCGTGGCTGCACGCGCGCAGATCACCGCCCCTCGCGCCAAAGTCTGTTTTGGAAAGTCTGTTTTTTTCTGGGCTGGCGATACGAGCAGAGCAGAGAGCGAGAGAGGTCGAAACTCTGTGCTGTTTCTGGCAGGTGGTCGGTTTGGGTTGGCTGTGGCTTTTGGCTTTTGTTTCATTATTTTGATTATTATTATTATTATTATTATTATTCTCGCCTTCTTGCAAAAATCAGAGACCGCAGAACGCCCCGTCGAACGTGTCAAAGGAGAAGACCACAGCAGCCGAGCTCCCAATCTTCTTCTTCTGGCGTCAAAATCCCAGGACGGTGTCTCCGGGGAAGCGCAGAGGCAAAAAACGGGGCCAGGGGGGGGGAGACCGGACAGGTTCGTACCTAGGCAGGAGATATCTTGTGACCTGAATCAGGACGATAGCATTTTTGCGGGGACTTTTTGGAATCCACAGCCGTGCATATTATTATTCTTGTCTGCGTGGGCTGGGCGGGTTCTGGCTGGCGGTTTGTGGCCAAAAAAGCATCTTCCTTGACCACCCCCCTGGACCTGAAATCCGGGGCAAACTTGCCTCTCCAGCGAGCCTCTCTTGCCGCCCAACGAACTGTTCCGGGGGGAGGCTGTTTTGTTTGTATTATTATTTCGAGTCTTGGGGTGGGGTAGTTGGTTAAGTTAGCTAGGAAGGATTCAAGCACCCTGCCCCATCTCGGCTCGCGGGTGCTTTTGATGAGATCGAAGAGTACAGAGAGAGAGCCTCTCCGGGGCCGCCCGAGAGCGGATTCAGCTTCCCCCCCGCGCCAGTGGCAAAAAAAAGAAAAAGGCAAATCCTGCGGTTGCGATGCAAGTGCTTTTTCTTCTATCATATCGAGGAAGCCGCCCAAAAAACGCTTGACGCGCAAATCCTGACTCAGGACAAGGAAGACGGAAAACATAAAACAAAAAAAAGTGATTGATATGATTTGGCTATCTATCCAGTGATCCCGGTCGGTGCCTGGCTGGATGATGATGATGATGATGATTTTGGGGATGTTGTTGTCGGGGCTGACGAGGAATCGGGGCGGTGGCCCAGCAGGCGGCGCGCGTGGGGGAGAGGGGGGTGGGTGGCCGCCAGGGTGGGGGAGGAGAGATTGTCCGGTTTTTTGGGGGAGAGAGGATGAAGAGACTGATGTCATATGGCGGTGGGTTATTCTGACACGGCGGATCTCGTATCTCGCTATCTACTATCATTATTCTCTATCGGCGGTGGTTCTTGATGGGGCTGCATACAGCCGGCACAACGCGTGGGCGGCAGGCCAGGCCAGGCCAGGTCGTTATTGGGCCGGGTAGCGAGCGCGATGAGGATGATGGTGAATGGCCGATAGACAGCGCGGTGCGTGCGTGACCTGCAGGCAGCGAGTCAGGCCAGGGTGTCAGGGCCAGCGCGCGCATGGCGGGCCGGGAAGAAGCAGCAGCAGCAGCAGCAGCAGCAGCAGCAGCGTCAGGACTCAGCGTGCGTGTCGGCGCGTGCAGGCAGGGAGAGAGTTTGGCGTGGGCCGGGGGCTGGGTTCTGCAGGCCGGGCGGCGCGTGAGAGGCCGACAGAGATTGCGGGCGGCCGGGGGGGGGGGATAGTTAGGGGGCGCGGCGGGCAGGGGCGGAGCGTGGGTTCCTGGTCGCGGTGCAGCGAAGGTTTGCTGGGCTGCAGGCGCGGTGGAGCCGGGGCGGCCAGGATCGGCGGGGAGAAAGAGTAGAGTAGAGAGTAGAGAGTAGAAGGGTAGAGGAGAGGAGAGGAGAGGAGAGGAGAAAGTCGAGTGTTGGGCGTGGCGAGGGCGGGCGGTAGGGTTGAGCGTGTTAGGGTCGAGGGTGAGGCGGAGAGAGAAGACGAGGGCGGGCGTAGGCGTAGGCGTAGGCGTGGGCGTGGGTGTTAGGCGTGGGCAGCTAAGCAGCTCACTAGCTAGCTAGCCCGGTGCTGGCGGCCAGCCCCCCCGCCCGCGCGAGTCGCGGTGAGGGCCGTGGCGCGCCCGCGGTTATATTGCGCCCGTCGCCCGCCGCCGCGGCCGCGCTGCCATTCTATCTTCTTCTATCTTCTCTCCTTCCACACTCTTCCTGCTTCCTGCTTCCTCTTCCTCGCCTACCACCTCCCCCCCCCCCCATGGCCCCCGCCCGCTGACCGCCATGGACTACGACGCCCTCGCCATGTCGTACCTCAGCCCGCTGCCGCTGGCCGCGCCCGCCGCCGACTACCTGGCCGCCATGCCGCCGCTCGACGCCGCCCCGCCCGCCTACGACCACCCGGACGCCTTCGCCAGGTATGCATCCGCTCTCTTCTTCTTCTTTCTTTCCGCCTAACCCCTCGACCCTAACACGCTCAACCCTACCATCCCCAATATTCTACCCAAGATCCCCACTGACTGCCCCAGCGACGACCTCAGCTTCGCGCCGCCCGCGCTCGCCCACCCGCTGCGCCGCTTCTCCTACGACGAGCCCTTCCCCGACCTGCTCAGCCCGTTTGACGGCCCGCCCGACCAACACGCCCAGCACCAGCACTCGCAGCACTCCCAGCACTCGCAGCACCCGGCCCAGCCCCAGGCCCCCCAGCACCACCACCACCACCACCCGCCGCCGCCGCCGCCCGACGCCTCCGTCGACCACAACCACAAGCTGCTCAGCTTCTCGCTGCCCGCCTACAACTTCACCCTGCTGGACTACTCGTTCCGCCGCACCTCGCTGTCGCTGGCCGCCCAGCTGCACGGCATGTTCTTCCTGGCCGAGTCGCCCTGGACCGCCGCCTCGCCCACCGCCGCCGCCGCGGCTGCTGCGGCTGCGGCGGCGGCCGCGGCCTCTGCTGGGACCGACGCCAGCGGGCTGCCGCCGCCGCCCGTGGCCGAGCTGACGTGCTACCGCCGCAACCTGTTCCAGATCACCGGCTCGGTCACGCTGCCGCGCACGCTGCGCTACCTGATGACCGACCAGGGCGACCGCATCCCCATCCTCGCCCACGAGCTGACCGTGTCGGCCACCGAGTCCGTCGAGGGCAACCCCGTCAAGATCATCTCCGTGCCGTGGAAGACGCCCGCCAGCGCCAGCGCCGCCGGCGGAGCGGCCGGCGGAGCGGGGGGCAGCCCGCCCGAAGACAAGGCCGAAAAGGAGCCGCCGGCCATCCCGCTCGACACCATGGCCGGGCAGGACGTCGACGCCGACTACGCGACCTTTGCCATCGCCTGGAAGCGCCTGCAGTTCCGCATCGCCACGGCCAACAACGGGCGCCGCAAGGAGCTGCAGCAGCACTTCGTCGTGCGCCTCAAGATCGTGGCCACGCTGTCGACGGGCGCCAAGATCGCCATCGCCGAGGCGCAGTCGGGCCCCGTCATCGTGCGCGGCCGCAGCCCACGCAACTTCCAGTCGCGCAAGGACCTGCCGCTCAGCGGGAGCGCCGCCGCCTCGCGCAAGAACGCCCAGGCCGCCGCCCTGCACCGCGCCGCCCAGCCCGCCGCCGCCGCCGCCGCCTCCAAGCGCAGCAAGTCGCCGCCCGAACCCTCGCCCGCCCCCGTGCCGCTGCAGCTGGACGCCGCCTCCGACGCGCTGGCCTCGCCCGCCAACACCCCGCCGCAGCCGCCGGCCGCCGGGGCCGCCGACTGGTCGTCCGCCGACGCCCCCGCCCCGCGCCCGCCGAAGCGCCGCCGCACCAGCTCGCACGCCCACGCCCACGCCCACCACGCCCATGGCCTCGGGCGCCCGCTGCCTCTCGCGCTGGCCACTGCCGCCGACGACGTGCCCAGCCCGGCCACGCCCACCACGCCCGTCCACGCCGCCAGCCTACTCCACGCCTCTTCTTCTTCTTCTTCTTCCTCCGCGCCGCCACCACCACCACCACATCTCTCCCACCACGCCTTCGATCCCGCCCCGCTCCTCCACAAGCTCGCGCCGCCCACCGTGTCCATGTCCTCCGCCGCGCTCGCCCACGCGCCCGCGCCCGTGCTCGCGTCGCACGCCTACTCCGCCGCCGCCAACCTCCCCCTCCTCGCGCAGTCGCTGCACCACCACCTGCCGCCGGGCCTCGTCTCGCCGCACATCCTCAACCCGGCCGACACCTCCGCCGCCGACCTGCTGTACGAGTACTTCCCGCTGGGCCTGGACGACTGGCAGCCGCCCGTCGACGCCGTCTACCGCCCGCACGTCGTGCACCACATGAACCTGCACGACGACCCCAAGGCCCTGGCCGCCCGCAACCGCAGCAAGCGCTACTTCGCCGGCGACGCATGACCGATCGACCTCTATCTTTTTTTTTTTTTTTTTTTTTCTCTTGGGGAGTCTTGTGTGTCTCTCGTCGGATTGGGAAAGACCGGCATTACTTTATTTTCTCTTTATTTTTTTTTTCTTATTCGTTTCTTATCCTTGCATAAGCAACATTGGTGGACGGGGTGTTTTATCTTTCTCTTTTCTTCTCCATTCTGTTTCGTTTTTTCTCTTTTTTCTCTCTTGCATGGGATGATGTGAATGGCTTTTTGTTTCTGTCTCTCTTGTCTTCGTTTTCCTTTTTTTTTTCTGGTCCCCGGTCCTTCTACTCCGTCCGCACCTTCATACTGTTTCCTTCCCATTTTGCCTTTTCTTTTACATTTTGTCTTCTTTCTCGTCTATTTAGGTTGTTCCTCTTAATTTTGCTCTATTATCTC